ATTGCTCTGCCTGAAAAAGATGGCTCCTGCAGTATGAGGAATGACTCAGCATACACATCCTGGCAGCTGTTCCTTCAGATCTCTCCCCAGAGCCACCAACCCCAGACCCTCCTCAAGAGTCTCTAGTCCACTCTGCCCTCCCTCTGCCGGAGCCCAGGGTAAGTGGCTGCAAGTGGAATTTTGTATATTAGCCCTTTAAGAGTCTCTGCGTCTCCAGCCATCCCTCCCTGTTGGACAGAAACCCTGCCGCTTTTCACAGTTGTATGTTGTTTTGGTTCTTCTCCAGCTCTGGTGCTGTAGGCTGGGGAGCCCAGCTTGGGATTTAGACCTCACACTTTTCAGGAGGAACCCCCCGGCCAATGAAATACCCTTCTAGCACTTCAGCTGCCACTGTGGGAGCCCAGCCAGCCCTCTTGCATCTCCTCCACACACGGTACCAGTCACATTGTGGTGAAGTGGCTTCTTTGGTCTGTCCGTGGTTGTAAGGCTTCTTGACAGCTAGCGTTCAGTTATTCAGGATGATTCTTCTATAATTTATTTGTAATTCTAGATTGGTCCTGGGAGGAAGTTAGTGTAGCTTCTACTTAATCCTCTACCATCTTTGGGGGGACCTCTCAAATAAAAATTTTTTAAAAATGATTAAATCAGGGTACCACATGCTTCTGGAGGAGGAAGTTATGACCTGGGACAGGCACAGAGGCAAGGCTTTTTAGGTGCTGGCAATATGTCATTTCTTACCTGGGTCATGGTTGCACAAATTGTTACTTGACATTTATTTTAATGTAAGTTTTTTGCACTTTCTTGTATGTGTTTTCCACACTTAAGTTGCCATCCCCTTTCTTTTTTGCTAATTGCATATCTCCAAGACTGGGGAGCAGCTTTGTACGTAGTGCTCAATCAGTGCTTACCTCAAGTGCTTTAGAAAGGATTTGAGCCTCATGAGGCTGGAGCTGGGTCTCCGATTAGCGTCTGTTACGAGTCCTCTTAACAATGCTTGTCCAACAACCAGGGGGTGGGAAGGCAGTCACAGGAGAGGCATCAGGTGGCCGAGGGGCTCTTGGAGGCCAGGCATCAGCAGAGAAGCTAACAGGGCATGGGTGACTGCATGTTGACCCTGGAGTGCCTGGTTTAGGAGTCCAGATCTAATCCTGGAGACAACCGTAGACACTGAGGGTTACCATGCAGTGAAGTGACAACTAAAAATGCCCTTGTTTCCAGGGGTGAATCTGGGTGTAGTGGGTAGAGTGGGGTGCAAGTAGGGACACCAGTCAAGGGTCAGGCATAGGACACTGGGAATGATGGGAGCAAAGCTGGAGAGAGATGGCCCTGGGGCATGTTGGTGAGCAGGCAGAGAGAGCTGAGCGGCTGGAGAATAGTAGGTCCCCGGAAAAGGGAAGATGCCTGCAGTGCCAGGCTCTCCCACCTCTTGGTCCCCTCCTCAGCTCCACGGTGTTGACGATCTATGCCAGAGACCACTGGCCCCTTCAACTGAACCCTGTAGTCAAGGGAGCATGTCTTCCCAGGGGACAAAGAAATCTGCTTCTTCTGTGAAGCATATCATAAAGGTCCTGTTTTGTAGAAAAGCCGGGTACCTGGACTCACATGTGAGAATACGCCAGCCATCCAGGTAGTGGCAAAGGGCTATTATGAACCTCCCCAGTCCAGGGGCTGCTCGCGACAGCGTCCTGTCCCCTGGGGGTTTCTGTCAGCGAGCATGTTTTGAGGTTGTGCTCTGGGAAGCCCCCTGCACTCGGCATCCCACAAAAACGAGGGCGTGCTGCCTGAGGGGGCCACCCGCTTGGAAATGGAAGCACCGCCAGATCGGTGTCGGATTGAGAGAGGCGCTCAGTCAGGAGTCCTCTGGGTCATTCCGGGCGCCGCTTCCTTAAGCTGCCAGAAAGCACACGGCAACGTGAAGGGGACTTCTCGGGAGATGGGGCAAGCACGAATGTAGGCAGGGCAGACAGATAATTTTATTCTCATTTTTCTTTATAAAATAAAGATACAGTAGGAGTTTTACAATTCAGTATGATTAGATGTGATTTATAATTTTAACATTCTTTTTAAACAAATGACAACAGAAACAGAGAACTGGTACAAATGATAAAACTTACAAGAGCAAAGAGAAACTACCTTCCTGATCGAAACACGCGCCACAGCTAACCTGCCCTAAGATTCTTTCTAAGATTTCTAAGCTCAATTTTCCTAGAAAGGCTTTGTGGAAAGCCCTTAGTCTCAAATATTTAAACTGTTTTTCTAACCACTAAATGCCTTGACCAACTTGTTAATCAAATGCTTCCTAAAGTAAGGACAAATAACTGAGTGCCCTGAAGAAATAAGTCTTGATCCTATTTTTTCAGCTATAAATTATTAATGTTTCTATAAAACAAAAGAATTTTCTAAGCACAGAAGCCTTCTAAAAACTTCAATTACCTTTTCCGGCTCAGTACCTGATTGAAATGTTCAAATGTTTACGTTGCGTGTGTGCGCGCGCGCGCACACACACACACACACACACACACAATTTGAGCAGCATACTGTGTGAGAAGCTGATGAAAAATAAGACTGAAAAACCCCTAAATTGTGTCCCGTTTACATGATTTAAATATATATTTTCTATATCTTTAATTAATATAAGTAAAAAGGTAAACTTTAGAACAGCACAGAAATACAAATGCATTAGTTTTACAAAATATATTCAACCCCTTACACGTGCACAATATTTATAATTTTGGAATTACCATACAAAGGAGCTAGTTTCTTCTCCTTCATATAGGAAAGCAGGAAGTCGTGTGTACAAAGTTATTTACATAAAAAGGAAAAAGAGCCCACATTCCTCTTCTTTGTCTTTAATGGAATGTTGCATGGTATGAAAACACAGTTCCAATGTTCTGAACTGAAATTCAAAGACTTGGAATGAAAAAATTTCTAGTGGCACATTGCACTACATGGAAGGACCACCATTTTCCAGAAACTAGGGCTGCGTTCTCTATCATGTTGAAAGATGACCGCAGAACCCGGCGGGAAGGCCCGGAACGCCCACCTGGCCACCTCTGGTCAAAGAGTCAGAGCACCCAAATGCAGACGCCATTTTGAGAGTCCCAGCCAAATCTCCGATAAAAATAACAGGCTGCACTTAGATGCTACCATCGAACAGGCTACTTTCCCAAACTCCCGAGGCAGATACGAGTCCATGAGTCTTGGGATCCGTCCACTGGCCGCTGGCAAAGCCAAGGGCTCCCAGACCCCTCCCTGGCCCGGTGGCGGGCGGTGGATGGACAGGAAGGGCCATTGGCTACAGCTTCCACAAAACACCAAAGAAGAGCAAAACCTGCCTGCCGGGAAGATAAGGTTCCAGCTTCATTTCCAGCTTGTAACTAGCAGATTCAAAGGTGAACTTCTTTGTAAAAGGATTCTTACAACTTTTAGCAGATTAAATACTGCTCTCAAAGCATTTCTTCCATTCAGATTTTTAAGTACCTTGCTCCTCAGCTTGGCAATAACATCTCATTTCTCCTTTCTTCCTAATTTGCTTTCTCCTTGCCTTTCCAAACGACAAATGAAATCATTCCCATCCCCACCATGCCCCAAGTTCAATGCTAATATGGAACATGGAAAGCAAGATAAGGTTGTGGAAATCACATCATATGGCCTGGTTTGCCCCCCGAGGATGTTGCTGCTGTTTCCTAAAGCAAAAAGGAGTTGGGTTTGTTTGAAAGCTTGGGGGCTAAAAATAAGTCACTAATGGTTCAGGGGACAGACTATTCATACTGATCACATGGACCAAATGCCAATGCAAAACAACTCTAAGCCTTACTCTGACGTGCAACGTTTTCTCTTCACCTAGACCCAGACATGGTAGCTTTCATTCCCTTTTTTTCTGACCTACGTTTCAGTCATTACAGGGCTTCCTAGAAATGACAGTGTGCCAGGGACATTTCCCAAACACTACTTTGAAGTCACCTAGACAAACAGGCCACCATCAAGCAACAGATGTGGTCTATGTGCTTGGCGCACCTTGAAAAGGCCTGGCTGACCCTTGTTCCCTGAGACCTGCTTACAAGCCCTCAGCTCTTAAGACACAAAAGCGCTAGAGCAAGCTTGGCCAGCTCTAATGCACACCTTTACCAGCGACATGTCCGGAGATGGCCTGGTGCTGGCTCCTGCGGCTCAGAGCCAGTGACTGAAGGGGGCTGTTTCAGGGCCGGCCCCCAACTGGAGTCTGGGGCCCGAGCCGGAAGCATACAGGCCCACTGGTCTCGGGGCCAGGCTTCCTGCCTTCCACTGTGCCAGCTGCCCTGGGGCCCTGGCCGCCACCGTCACAGCCTCTGCTCCCGGCAACCCCACACCTCCCAGAACCTGAAGGCAAGAGAGTTAGGGTCCTCTGACCATTTCTATGACAGAAGTTCTGTCTTCTGAAATACTCATTTCAGGCTGAAAGCCAGTGAAATGACTACCTGAACTCTCAACTGGAAACCCTAATAGAAAGCTCGTTTAAGGTGGATATTAAAATGGGGAACACATGATACTAAAGCACAGTTGGGTTTCATGTGATACCTTCATTTCAATGGAATTCCAAAGTGCGGACCTGGCTGCCTTTGAAGAGTGACAGTGGAGTCTACAGCCACCCTACCCTGAACGCACCCGATCGCATCCGAAGAGTGACAGCTGGGGGCTGACCCCACTCGTCACGCAAGCCATAGAAACTGCAGGACAGCCCAGCGGCTGCCGGCGGCCCCGCGCAGCGCTCCCCCACCGCGACTTTCCGGCAGCTGAGAGGTAACCGAGGACCTTTCAGTGGTTGGTTTGGTATTACTTCTCTCCAAGTAATATTTCCTGAGATAACTTTCCTAGCAGAAGTGGAATTAACGGAGTTTTCACAGTAAGCCCTTTAATTTATCATCACTGAATTCTTTTTTTTTTTAAATAATGAAACACTTTATATTTATTTATTTATTTATTTAAAGATTAAAATTTTAATTTTTATTGACTTTATTGGGGTGACATTGGTTAATAAAATTATATAGGTTTCAAGTGTACAATTCTATAATGATCATCTGTGTATTGGATTGTGTATTCACCATCCCAAGTCAAGTCTCCTTCCTTCACCGGAGTAATTATGCTCAAGTGGAAGTATGCTTTTAGATTTGCTGGACTTGTGCTGAAATGCAAACTGGAAAATTTAGGGATATATAGATGATGTCCCTATGACCATTTCACATGCCCTAGGAGGATTTACATGACACAAACATTTCCTAAGGGATAAATCAAATACAACCTTGATTAGGCCCCTCATTTCCCTGTACTCTTTACATCATATGTAGATTACACTCACCAAGAGGGTGTACTGAAAAAGCAGTCTCTCCTCTGTAAGTGCTCCCTGAGAACACCCACCCCATGTCCCCAGGAAAAGCAAATGAGACTGGGCCTGGCAGATGCGAGGTCCAGCTGTGTAAAAATCTTCAGCAGACACGCACGTGCAGGTGTCTGATGTGAAACCAGATGTCCTTCATGAAACATGGCTGATGTCATGGCTGTAGTTTTCTTGTCCTGCTTCTTGCCTTCCTACATGTGAGCTGAGATTTCTGTTTAATATTTACAGATCATCTTGCTTTCCTTTGAAAAATACTTTTAGACGGGGTTGAATACAGGAGGATTTTCCATTAGGAAATGGGAAGGCCAAGGGCCTTGGAAGGCTTTCTGAAGAATAAAGACTAAGAAAAAACCTGTAGGTCTGTAAACACCCAATGGAAAACCATTCAAAAGAAGAAAGAGAAGGCACCAACTTTGGGTTAAAGATGCTTGTAAAAGATTGCGACATGATTAGAGCTACAGAACTAACACCTACGTCTTCTAAAGTCTTGCCTTGGATACTTATTCATGTTCAGCTGTTCCAACATTGCGGTGCCTGTCACTCTGCTATTCCTCCGCACACCTGCCTGAACAATGAGAAGAGAAGGAAAGCAGTGACATGCGACGCTGGGGAGCCAGTGTTTAAGGTTGAGAGAGAAGAAACTAAACAGAAAACGAAACACCAGCTCCTCAGAACCACCACCTATGATGTTCGCATCTCAGAACCACCACCAGGAGGAAGTGAGCTGAGAGTTTGTAGGTAGAAAGCCAACTAACAACAACAACAACAAAACAAGAAAAATCATTGTATAACTCTGCAAAATAAGAACGAAGGGTTTGATTGCATGCCCCTTAACTTTATAAGCACATTTGAGGCCCAACTGTAGAGAAATTAAAATCCTACTATGACAATTCAGTACTAATAAATTACAGTAACCATCCAGCTATTCAAACAGCAAAACAGAACAAAATTTACAGAAGTAAACTTTCCTAAAGTAAACAAATGTAGACTATCAGAACTTGAAAAACCATTAGAAGGGACACTGTGTGTTTTAATCAGGCTCAGACTGAAATAAAAGTAGTCAATGGAAACGCCAACCTGACGGCCGTCCCTGCCATGGTTGTGGTTTCATCTTTGCAGCGTCCTGTGACATTCTTTCAGACAGAGGGCGGCCGTCCATGTAAACAGTCTGACACATCGGTCCCCTGCGGTGGCCCTGTGGTCGAGGAGGAAGAACAGGCTTGGGGGCAGCAGTCAGGGAACACTCGGCCCTAGCAAGCAGCAGCGGCCTCCGGACGCCATGCTCAGGGCTTCCCGCCGGGCGGCTCTGTGAGGCTCTGGGCGGTGGAGCTGGTGAAGGTGGAAAGCCACGAAGACATGGCCGTCTTCGCGCTGGAGAGAGCTCCTCCCACAGACTGGCCTGCAAAGGGAGGACGGAACACCCAGAGGAAAGATGTCTTCACTTTTGGGAAGAGACAGCGAGAGACCAATGCAAATGAATACATGTTAATTTATGGTCACACACCAATATGTCAATAGCTACTAAAATGCCATTTAAATTTCTAGTTTCAAAACAATCCCTTTCCACAGGGAAGTCTAATAGGAAACTGAACCCTTTCTGGGTGTAAGAGCCTGCTATAGGGTACTCGGCACCCTGTCTCGTGATACCTGCCGTGCGCCCTGCGTGGCCAGTGCTTCTCAGCGCTGCTGTGTCAGAGCCGCCTGGAGAGCTGACCAAGTCCTCTGTGCTCCCTGTGCCCTAAATCCAAGCGGCTGACTGATAACCACACATAGGGAGCAGTGCTCAGGCTGCTCTAGGGAAAGGTGTGCTTGTCATCCTAGCAACGCTGCGCGAAGTGAAGACATACAGAGCTCTCTTTGCCTCAGATCTGTTTTGTTCTGAAGAACTTCATCTCAGAAGTGGATGCTAAAGTGGACCTATTTAACTTGCATCACATACTCCCACTATTCTTAGAGAGGGGAGTGTGGAAGAGAATGGGCCTTAGAATTTACATATCAGTTGCAGCATCATTAAAAATTCAGTGACAACTGGACCATGTATGTATGATGAAGTAGACTTTTTCTATTAAAAATAAGAATTAAAAACAAGTCAAATGCATGATGTCGAGTGGAAGAAAATGCTAATGTACCAAGTTCCGTTCCCTGTAACAACGTGAACCCAGTGGTGGGGCGCAGCTCCACGTTTGTCTTCTAGGACATCTTAGGGCAGCGCCCCCGCCCTGCCGGTATCTCAGTATTCAGACATTGGAGCTTTGAGGGCCGCTGCCCAGAGGTCAACCAGTTTTGGGGCTCCTGTTTAGTAAGGGTTAGTCAACCTCTCTCAGGAGCCAAGTAAGGAGATGGGTCCTATTTTTACATACTGATGTGACAAGGCATATGTAAGTAATTGGTGAGTCTGAGATAATTAGGAGTTCCTTGTATACTGTTGTACCTTTTTTTAAGTTCGAAATTATGTGAAAATAAAAAGGTAAAAATACTGAAAAGAAGGAACTAGAACTTTCTTTAAAACGGACAGGAAGCAATCTTCCAAAATTTCATGTTAAAACGGACAGGTGCAGAGGCGTGTACACAGCAGCACAGCCTGTTGGCCGGGCTTGGGTAGCAGGGGGTGCCGGCCTTGCTGCCTGAGTCTGGGGCATTACCTCACCCACCACTTTTCGAAAGAGTCTGTATAAAGTTAATTCAGTTTGTTCAGATTTTCTATTTCTTACTGAGTCAGTTTTGGCAATTGAGTCTTTCAAAGAATTTGTATATTTTAGCCAAGTTGTCAAAACATTGGCATAAAGTTATTCACCATATTCCCTTATTATCCTTTTAACTCCTGTAGGATCTGTGGTCACGTCCCCTCTCTAATACTTATGAACAGTGGGAATGGGGGGAAACTCCAGCAAAGTGTGAATCCTGGTAACAGAGCAGTGGACTCCAGAAAATTTTGTCACTCGCCATCAGATGTGGCAAAATTTGCTCAACTTTCATATTATCTGATGCCACAACATTTTTCTTTAAACAAATAAGAGAAAAATTTTTTAAAAAAACCAGCAAGCAAACCTCTGTATTCGACTATGGAAATGATCTTGTAATATCATGTGATACACAGATCCCTAGAACTTTACGTTTTTATCGATGACACACTGAGAACAGGGAAGAGATGTGCTGATTCCAGTCAGCTCTTGGCTGAAAGGTGTGCCTTACCAACAGCTTTTCCTGTTTGCACAACATTCCGGCTGGTGGTGACCATGACGTTGCCAATTTTTTTGCCACGTTCACTGTTTTGAACAGAACTGAATAGAGGAAAGAAGTGTTAGATAAAATTTTAAAAAATTTCTCACACACACTGCTCTAGAACCATCCACTACTGAGAATTATTGAGAAAAGAAGCTGAAGTACTCATGGTTTGTTATGTACCAATTCATGTGCTAACCTTTAAGCATGTGAACTTTCAGGAAATACTAAAAGAACATGCAGATTAGCCAAAAAGTGGGAAGGACATAAGGCTGCGTGGCTAACGCCCCTGGCTGCCAGGGTTTGCTGGAGTCACTTCACTGGGATGAAGGCGGCAAATCCTGCTGCTAGTTCGCACCGCTCTTCAGGGAACAGCAGTGTTTTCACTCTGAAGCGCACACACTGCTGAGCTAGAGGCTGTCATGCACATATTTGGTTACTATTTGAAGCTCAAGTCTATCAAGGGGAGAAAAACAATTCCCAATTAGCAATGGAACACATGGCACACATTCAGATATAAGAATTTTCCCAGTATTTTCTCGAAATACTCACTGTGAGAATCTTAACTTCATGTCTGACACCGAGTACTGGCCTTGAAAAGGATGGCTGCAAAACAAAGTTTGAGTTTAGACTGTGAGCATTTTGCCAGTAAAGCCGCAAGGCAGTTACCATGTGGGAGCATTCACGGGCTGCGCAGGGCGACCCAGCAGGGAGGGCGGGCTCTGAACCTGCCTCTGGGCTCTGAGCACGGTGCTCAGCGCACGTAGGGGAGCCTTTCTGACCTCATGTCCTCCCTCATGAACGCAGTGTTTCTTCCTAACGTCGGTGGGGGAGTTGTCTTAGCGATGGTGATTTATTTGGTCAGGGGTGGGGGTGGGAGATGGCCGGGCATCAGCATTTTTAAAAGCTCCCAGGACAGTCAGGGTTGGAGTTGGTGACTTGGGCCCTGGCCATGGACTTCCCCTTGATTCTGGCCGTCTTCCCTGTGTGTGTTGTTGGCCATACAAAGGTCTGTAGACAGATCAGTGAAATCTGAACTTTCAATTAGAAACGCAACACAAAATGCGGCTCTTAAAAAAAAATAGACAAAAGGCACCTGGCTGGTGTGGCTCAGTGGGCTGAGCACTGGCCTGCGAACCAAAGAGTTGTCGGTTCGATTCCCAGTCAGGGCACATGCCTGGGTTTCAGGCGAGGTCCCCAGGAGGGAGCATGCGAGAGGCAACCACACATTGATGCTTCTCTCCCTCTTTCTCCTCTCTTCCCCTCTGTCTATAAATAAGTAAAATCTTAAAAAAAATAGACAAAAGGCAAAACGTCTTTTTCTATATCTATGTATATATAAAAAAATAAAATAAAATCAGGCACCTTCACCCAAGTCACACTACAAAAGGAGTCAATAAATACCCAAATTCTTATCGCACCCTTGGACTGCTCTCTGTTGGCATCTGGCACAGAAAGCAACCCTAGTGAAACCTACAGCAGATTATAAAAACCTCAAAATGCCACTGACAGCTTTTCAAATGACAAGTTTCTTTCTTGTCTTTAGGAAGTATATTGATACTCTCTCCTTTCTTCTGCATTCCTGAATCACAGGCTGAAAAAATTGAGATTACTGAATCATTCTTGATAGGCCCGGAAAAGCTACGTTTAAAGGATGAAATATATCTGCTCTTACTAAGAGAAGTGAGAGGACTGCCTTCCCTGACCTTGAGGAGCTGAAGAGAGGGTTTCACAGATCTCAGATCCGACAAGTAGTCTGGGGTATTTCTAAGTTAGAGCCCCTGATGACAATTGAAGGCTATCGTTTCTTGTTTTGAATTTGGGGAAAAATATCGAAACTCTGCGGACGGTCATATCTGCATACCTTCCCTTCATATATATTTCAGGTCCTTCTTCAGCTTTCTCTTCAATCTAAATAACCTCAATTTACTTACACATTTTAAAAAGCACTGTTTTACAACCTTTGCAAACCTGTTCCAGTTAAGCCTCCTCTGGACTTGGAAAAAAATCTGCAGAGCTGGTTCAGGTTAAAGGCACCACAGCAGACGTCTGACTGGATAACGGCCTGACTGGGTCATCGGAGCCACGGGGGAAGTGACGGCCCCCTACGCCATCATGGCAGACCCACCCCACCCAGGCACGGCCGCAGCGATGCCACCGGCAGACACACCCCACCTGGTTCTCTGCATCGCCCTCCAGACTACAGACCCGTGGTCAGTGAGGGAGAATACTTGGAACTCTTCGCCCTTTCATGTAATACTATTAATGTTCTTGCCTTTTAATTTTCTGTGTTTTCACCTCATTCAAATGGCAATATAGGTTTCTGCTTAGCTCAGTAGGATGACTAAATTCACCAACATCGGTGTGGAACGTAGTCAATTTTCCTGATAGATGGTATAAAGTTTAACAGACACGCTCTCCCAAACCCTGCTCCACGCCTGTTTTCTGTGTGGGGGGCGCCTCCCCTCCAGCGCGCTGACCCCACACTCCCAGGCCGGCGGTCAGCCCCAGCTTCCCGGTAACGTGGCGGTCAGGACAAAGCTGGTTTTTGTCCAATTCCCACCAAGAAGTAAAAGTTTAAAATAGAAGTGAAAACACCAAGTGTATGCTTGTACTATTAAATAAACAAACATTTTAACTTTTAATTAGAAAACCTAAGGTCCCAGCCTGCGCACACGGTATCAGTTGATCTTCTTAGACTCAACTCTGCCCCCCTCACACGGAGATGGCATTCTTTCCCGACGGCCCCGCCCCAGCATGTTTAAGTGTCTTTGGTGCCAAAGTCTCTGTCCAGTCAACATTCAATATTGTGACAGGAATGGCATTTTGTTGAATTTTAGAATCTGATGTGGCAGCTGGGTGTGACCACGTCTAGGAGTTCAAATGTCAACTGTAGCTTATCGTACTTTGTGTTTTCAAATGACCTTTCACTTTAACCAGTGGTTATTTCTGTTTTGTTTGACCCCTGCCACAGCGTAGGCCCCGGGGACGGGGAGAAGCCTGCTGTGTCCCCAGCATCCCCTCGTCTGAACTACCCCAAGGGCTGGGAAAAACATCAGGGCTTCCAAAATGGTTTCATGCTTTTTGTGTAAGAAGTGTGGACGGGGAAACAGTTTTCAGCTCCTTCTCGGTATTTGCGAGACTTTATTATAATCTACTTCAGGAGATTCTTGAAGATATATTCACAATATCATGCAAGCTGGGTTAGGATTTTCCTTATACTGGGGCACGGGAGTGAATAAAGCATGTTGGGTTCTATCTATCAGTCATCAGAATGTGCTTACTTCGGATTTATTTCGGCCAGTGCCGGATGCTTGTTGCTGTGCCAGACTCTGTAGTTGTGAGTGTTCTTCCACGCTGTGACAAAGGTTGTCCCATAGTCTGCGAGCATCTTTTCATTATCTGTCAAGTAAATGTGTGCAAGTTGAGCTGGACTGTGGCCAGTCAGGGGTGTGGAGATGGGCAAGCAAAACAAAGTAAAGGAACAGTCCCACCCTCCTGTCCCCGGGCTTTTTGGGGAAGGTGTTCTACCAGTTGTCAGGAAACTTGCATCGAACTCCAAACATCCTGTTAAGAAGCTATGTGGCTTTGGCAAGTCAATTTAATCACTCAGACCTTCTCTGCATGAGGGAGTAACAAGTAATTTTTCTCTAATGAAAATGGATTTCTTACGCCATGACCACTGTTACGAGAACGCGTGGCTGCGTGCTCCCTACCTAACTGCAGCGTGGCGGCCAGCAGGGCGTGGATGTAGACTGCAAACTGGGCTCGGATCCACTCGTCACCACCCTCCCAGCCCGTGCCATCCAGGAAGACGTCCTCCCGGTTCTCAGTCACGTGCCGCACCAGGTAGTCTGCAAACCTGAGGTCGGCTGTGGTGGGGTTGAGCAGCTTCCTGAGTTCTGGGTCGTGGATCTGGATCAGAGCTTCTTCTACCTAGAAGGCACCCAGCAAGAAGTCAGAGTCTGGGCATTCATGCGGATATCCACACCACACTTTAAAGGGTACCTACTGGGGAGTTGGAGCTGGAAGTAAAAAATACGAACGGCATTCTCAAAAGGCGCCTAAACAGGTTTGTACACTCACGTGTCTTTTTTTCTATATTTAAAAAATACACATTTTCTATTTTCAGAAAACATGCATAAGTGTTTAATTTTGAATATAAAAGTAATTCATGTTTACTGTACAGATTTTGGAAAACACAGAAGTGCGTTGAATCACTTCTTTCATACAACCCGAAATGAATACAATTAAGGGGAATTCCTAAGTTGTTTTCCTTTGAGTGCACAGATACTCCAGGGTATTTTCTTGGGTAATATTTGAAATGTAAAGAAAACTATATGTAACTTACAGGCTAGTTTTGAGGTATAATAAAACAAACACCCACGAATCTGCCACCCAACCTCTGAAGTAGAAAGTAACCGATACCGTTGCAGCAGCTCCGTGGCCCTCACATCTGCACCCTTCTCGCTTAGAAGGCCTACATCTATTTTCCTTCCTCAAAATTGGGATCATAATACCTAAAGCTTTGAACTCCAATTTTCATTTATATATTATAAACATTTCCCCAGGAAGCAGGTTTTGGTACTTTCTAAAAACTTTAGGATGGCTTAAATTTCCTCCTCCTCCCTTTTAAAATGACTTCAACTGTAAAGTTGAACAAATGATTTAAATTTCTTATATACTGATGATAAGATGTCAAATATTTACCTCTGGCTCCTTGCTCTTGATACCAGAAGCCTAGTCAACCGGCTAGAAGCACAGTATTTGTATTATTTGAACAATAAACACATTTTGATTGTAAGACGGTAGTAGGACCAGGTGGCCTGGGTGGGGATCCTGGCTCACCCACTACACTTGCTTTTTGATCTCTGACCCCTTGCTCCCATCAGACAGGGGCAGCCGCAGTGCCTACTGCACAGGCTGTCGGGAGAAGGCGATCAGTCAATGTGCCTAAGGCACGCAGAATGCCCGGCACAGGGGGCAATTATTGCTCTTATCAGTGCTGAGACTACGCCCTCATAATTGCGCTTGAGGAAGGGAAACAGGGACCAGTGTGTCCAGGAGACATGCTCATACGGAAACCTACTTCCACAATGGCGTCACTGAGGTGTTTCTGTTGTCGAAAAAGGATGTTAGTAGCTCCAGCAACAAATCCCCGAACGCTGACATCAGAGAGAAGGTGATGCTGCTGCAATGCCATGTAAGGCAAGCACAGATAGCCCTAAGAATTACAAGAGCAACGCAAAATGTTAGACAAGGGAAGGAGCAGCCCCCTCTCTCTTCAAGCCTCCACAGGGAGCTAACTGTAGGAAAACGGACTCCCGATTTTCTCCCACCTCCACGCCATCCCACGCGCAGCTGATCTTGGACTCACTACAGTTACACACCCAGGGACCCTCGGGCTGTGACTGCGAGAAGACTGATCGCTAACCTGCTCCCGCGTGACCAACCCTGCGCAGGTGGTCTAATGCGAAGGTGGTCTCCTGGGATCACTTTGTTCTCTGCTCAACTTAAAAGCCTGCACAGCATTTAACAAAATGGACTTTTTCTTTTAGGAGCTGAAGTATTAAGCCCATTCAAAAGACTTGTTTAGTAGAGAGCGTTAGTTCTTCCAATAAAGTTTTAAAACACACGCATGGGTGCACAATCACCAATGTACTGTTACAAGAATCGCAAGGCACTGGTAAGCATGTCTTACTGCCCTCTTGTTAAAAGTTATGCAAACATATTTCAAGATGTTTGCTCCTAAATGTTTAAAGCAAAAATGACACTTGGCAGTAGTTGGGTATTTTATTAATTTCCCTTTGAATTGTATTTGAAAAGGCTGCTCCCCTGAAAATTAGTTGAATTGCCAAACCAGAGCAGGTAGTGAGGGATACAAAAAGCAGAGTTTCCTGAGAACAAAGGTGTTAATATTGAATGAAGCACTTGGGGAAGATCTGGAATTTCTGCCAAAAGAGTCTAAATTGAGACAAATTTTCAACAGGTGTCACAGTTTGTATGTGAAGCCAGGAAGGCAGGCTTGCTGAACCGCTAAACTTGTTCTCAATCTCAAGTGTTTTGACAGTTTTCTTTTTTTTGTTTTTGTTTTTTTTTTGCTTCTCATCACTTTTCTAAAAACACTGACCTACTGTTACCTGGAGGGTAAGATAAGACTCACTGAGAGCAGGAGCTCTGCCACTTCCTGCTCTTCACTGCATCTAGGATGCACCTCGGTGGTGGTTGTTTAAATACCTACTACGGGAGACAAGGCGTCCCAAAGTTGGAATATGGTTGTAGTCACTTGGTTTTATTCTTATTCTTGACAATGTCTACCTCTATTTGGCAACATGCTAACTAATAGCAAACAGAAATGCGTAAGTCTGTGCGTCAGAGACACTCAGTGCAGAGCTTCCCAACTCACGCCCTCTGTGGACCAAAGGCTGGGAGGACCCCCTCCTCCTTCAGAAGCAGAACAGCTGGATCAGGCCTCTGGGTTCTGGCTTTACTTTATGCAGTCTGTATTTTAAAACAATAGACTCCCCTCTCCCAACTACCTGCTTCTAAACATAAATATTACAGTATTGAATGCGCTTTCAAACAGAATACTCACTCCCCAACTAGAACTGAGAATCCTTGATAAAGGCGCTCTCAGACCTGCCAATTGTTACAGAAGACATATATTACAAAACAGCAAAGAATTTAATTGCTCCTGGTATTAAATTCAAAATTTATACTGCAAGAGAAAACAGTATTGTCAACAACGGAATCTTGGCTGAGTCTATAGAACCATGAAAACTCAGATGCATGTTTTAAAAAAGCAATAGCTCATCACTTCTTGGCCTTTTGGCTAAGCTCAAGTGTAAAAATCAACAGTTCAAAGCTTTTTAAGAATGAAAAAATACATTCCTTAAAAATATCTACTCATATTCTTTGACCCAGCATTCTACTTCTTGTAATTTATCCTACAGATACACCTGTTCATGTAAATAGTTACTTATTGCATCACTGTTTGTTGGAGCAAAAGACTGGATCCTAACTATTCATGAACAGGGAACTGACTAAACATTCACCTACACTGGTGAACACCCTGCAATGATAAAGAGTGATGAAGTTCACCTCCAATGAATATTTTGTGAAAAAGAATAACGGGCATAAAAATGGGAAGAGTCTGCTACCGTCTGTGTAAAAAGGGAAGGAAAACATCCACACACTGATTCACGTGCGCTCTACCCGGGAAGAAGATGGAAGACACGGAGAACGCTGGCAGCCACTGGAGCAGGCCAATGAGCAGCCGGGGACGTTGGGATGACAGATGCTTTGGAACCATCTGAGTAATGAACCATGTAAAAATAGTCCACATAAAATTACTTAAAATAGTAGTTCAAAATAGCTGTAAAATTTTGCTATCATTACTTAAAAAAAAAAGTGATGATCCAATGAGCCTAAATCTCTTTACACTCTTTAACGTACATTGGCAGCAAGAACATGGGTCTTTTCACATAAAGTGGCCTCTGTACCCAAGCCAACCCCACACCCAGCTTTTCCTTCCTCTGGGGCACTTTAGCTTCTGTGTTGGGAGCTGCAGTATATAATGGGAAAAAGAAAATTGGAAAGATATTTGCACATCCATACTCATAATAGTATTTTTTAAATAGCCAAGGCAAAAGCAACACAAATGTCTATTGAAGGATAAATGGATAAACAAAGTATGATAAGTACATCCATCGGAATAGGAAGAGCACCAAGAAGAGGGGCAGCCTTTTCTCCACTTCCCGTGACACACACGGAGATTATCACAGTATGGGACTGCCCAAGGGGAGACAAATACGCCAATGGAACAACAACGGAAGGTCCAGAAACAGATTGATTCTCTCCCTCGACCATCCACAAAAATTAATTCCAGGTAGGTAACCAAAAGGGGAAAGTCAAAATTCTTAAGATAACTTAGGAGATTGTTTTTCTGACTCTGCGGTAGGGAGGATTTCTTAAGACCGCAAAGCACTAACCATAAAATAAAGAATGGATAAACAGAGAAGGTATCTAGGATATATGAAGTTCCACAAATCAGTGACAACAAAGGAGACAATCCAGAGTTCTGAACAAATACTACACAGAGGGAAATCCAAATGGTTAACCAGAAGAGGAAAACATGCTCAGCCTCTACTCTGATTGCTGAAAAAAATGCACACCAAGTACTACAAGATACCATTGTGCAGGCCAAACATTAAGAAGCCTGACAATGCCCGGTGCTGGCGAGAGTGTGGAGCAAAGGGAACTCCGGCACGTGGCTATGTGGACGGACCTTGTCACAGCCACTTTAAAAACCCTGACAGGCCAGGAGCCTGCAGGCTCCTCTCCTCGCCCTCAGCGCCGGTTCTTCCTGACACTTCCTAAATCAGCTCTTGGAAGAGGCTCGAACTCCTTTTAGAGTCCACTGTCTGCATTTGTACAGTAAGCCTAACCTCTAAGACTGATGCGAAGGCATCATCCTCAGGCAATTTCAAGTACCAGAGAGAAGCATGGGCCAGACACAGCGGTTTTGTTATGGAGAAATTTGTTTCCATTTATTCATATGCTGAGTCAGGAGACCAGTCAGCTTATTATTCTCTTCAGAACTCGCTATCCTACTTTGGCAATATTCTCCAGGCATCCAAGCTTCTCTCTGGCTATTTTTGACATTACTTTTCAAGATGTTTCACTAACCTAATTCCTTCTGTACAAGCATTTTAAGATCTTCAAGAGAAAAGGAACCTGAAGACAATTCACTTTTAAGAATATTTCATATCCCAAAGTTACTGACATTAAAGATCAGCATTTGTATTTAAAAATGTGATTCAGCAATAAATTAGATTTTAATCAGTACATAAGAAAACATAAAACCAAAATTAAAAATGTTTTATTTACAATAACAATGGTAGTAATCCCATCATCCTTTCAATACTGGTACAATGCGCACGAAGAGATTTTTCTTATAAACGAGGGTTATGGAAGGCACCGAAAAGGCATGTTTACAATGCTCTGCTTAACTCGGCACCTCGCAGACAAAAACAAAGTCCCTCCCCTGTTACTCTCCCTCTTGCTACCTCCACAATGACAAAAATTATAGCTGGGCAGGAGAAGCAGCAAAATAAGGGCTCCAAAAAGGACAGGTGACATGGCCCCTACACGTGAGTCCAGAAAACACACAATGTGTGGCCGCTGACCAAACTCAGTCCTTTGAGAGCCCTGTGCTTTCTCCCCAGGTCCCTAAATCCCAGTTTTAAGAAACTGTGCATCTGTTCAATTATGAAACCAATCAAGATAATTTCAGAGTCTGCCAGCAGGCCACGAGATGAACAAAGATAGCCTTCTCTGCTAACGATTCAGCAATACTGACTCGGGGCAAGTCCCTATTTGTGAAGCTGGATAAACCCAGGAAGGGTTTCTGGTTGAGTGTGGCAGAGTAAGGAGCCCACATTCAAGTCTATGCTACCCATCCCTTTCCTGCGGTCGTTGCTGGAAAGGTGTGTCTGTCCTTGCCCGGTAGGCGGCAAGGTCATGGGCCAAGGACTGAGCACCCAGGACGGTGCCGGTGCAAGGGAAGGCGGTAAACCCTTGTTGGCTGAGAAATGAATTGGCATTTCTTTTTTTCTGCTCCATTTGAAAAATAATTCAAGAATGGCAATAAAATTGCTCATTCTGAACAGAATGAAAAAACAAACAAAAAATCCAAATGGAGATTCCAGAATCTTAATGTATTACTGACATTTAGAAATGATATCTTGGGACATAAGATCTCAAATCAAAGATTGAATTTGACTTACTATGTTGTATTTAAGTTATTTTAAAAAATTACAAAAATAAATAAAAAATTGCAAATACATTTTGAATGGTTTTTTGTAAATAGATTAAAATAAATAGTGTATGGGCAAGTTAACCAAAACACTATATTCTATCTATGAGGTGCACTAACATTTAACAGCCACCTAAGCAGTTTTTCCTTATAAAATTGTAGCTTTTGGAATTGCAGTATTTGACATATACTCATTAAGTGTAATCAAGACTGTCCAGGGTTTCTCAATTCATCTTTTTTTCAAAGATAAACCTGAATGATTGAAAACAGACCCAGTTCAGGGGTGGCTGACATCATGTTGCCTAAGTTTCCAAGTTCTTTCCCATCAAAGCCACCTGAATCACTTCCCTAAAGTCTTACCCTACAGTCAGACGCCACAGCCGTGCACATTTGGTACATAGTTTAGTTTTCAGGGAAAACCTTCAGATCTGAAAATGTGTTCAACACTAAAAGTCAAACTCTGAAAGGATCCCATCGGGTCCCTTAAGGACACGAGACTTTACCTTTGTGAAGATGGCCAGCGGCATGCCGTACTGGTCCTCTTCCAAACCGGAAATGAGCCCGGGTACCAGGACCGCCTGGCCCGTGCTGGCTTGAGGCTGCACGGTGATTGGAGGGCTGTCCGAGGGCACCAGCTCCTTTGGGAATGAGTTTGTCTGCTCCGACCCCACCTGCTCCCTTTCTTTCAAGGCAGGGTCCTCTAAGACACTAGGGTCCAAGGTCTCCCAGTCACTTTCTGAAGACTCTGGAGATGGCCGAGAAGGAGGTTTCAAATATTGATTGCTGTCACGGAGTTCCTGTCCTTGGCTGCTGTCTTCTGCTGGGAACAAAGGCTCTTCAGTCTTGATGGCAGCATCTCCTCCATGGTTTCCCATCACGATTTTCTTGACAGCTTCTGAGTTGGTATTTGAAATGTTAAAAGCAGACATGGAAACAAAATCATCTGCAGGGGGATTGTTTTCTTGAAGCCCAGCATCTTCAGACGTACTCTTCCGGGGTCTGTACTGAGAACAGTCTCTGAGACCATGCTCGATCATGCCTGCGACATAAAAGAGTGGTGAGCAGCATGGTTCATAATGAGGTGGAAGGAAATAAGAGTTGTATATTCTGTCCTAAATAGCAGAACTCTCCTGTAAAAATTTAAAATAGTCTATGCTGGCATACCTTTCAATTAAAAATAATGAAAATCTCAGACAAAACAAAACAAAAAAAACCCTATTGCCAAAATGAAAATGTCATATTAAAATAGAAACGTTAACCCTCATGAGTTTATCTTTGAACACGTTTATAATCGAAAGTCCCAGTACACGTTAAACAAAAGAAAGAGCACCTACTGCCCCTGTCTCACCTGGAAAAAGGGATAACACAGTCATGAGGGCTCCCACCAATTTATTCACTGGAGAGATATAAAAGAGAACCTGAAATGGAGTCAATGAAAAAAAACTAATTAGAAAACCTGAGTCCACAAAGATACTTAAAAAAAAAAAAGAGGGGGGAACTCTTTTTTCCAGAAGAAGAACAGCTGATAAGTATACAACTAGCGACAGAAAAAATCACCAAGCGTCCATCCTAATTCAGGTGAAAATTACCAGTGGACACTAAAACTATTGTGAAAGGTTGTTGGACCACAGGAAGTTCACACAGCGTCAGAATTATCCTCCCACAGACGACCTATGAATTGCAAAGGGAAAACCAAGCACCTTCACGTGAACAAATCTGGCAACCACCATCTTAGTCAAATGACTGAACTTCACAACATCGACAGCAAGAGTCCAGATACGGGCCTCTTGATGTGACACCCTCAGGACACGCCGCCGCGTTGGTCCCCAGATTTAAAAAAAACCAACCAGTTTATAGGACATTTTTATGACATATGGGGACATTTAAAAATGGACTTCAGTATTAGGTATCATTTATTGTATTAAGGTGAAATTTCTTGAATATGAAAATGGTATTTTGGCCCTGGCTGCTGTGGCTCAGTGGATTGAGCGCCAGCCTATGAACCAAAGAATCGGTTCAATTCCCAGTCAGGGCACATGCAGGCCAAGTCCCCAGTAGGGGATGTGCAAGAGGCAACCACACATTGATGTTTCGCTCCTTCTCTTCCTCCCTCCCTTCCCTGCTCTGTGAAAATAAATAAAATAATAAAGCCACAAAAAGCAGTATAGATAAATTTATAAAAATAAAAAAGAAAAATGGTCTTTTGGTTATATAGGCATATACCCTTATTAAGAAATATATCCTGAAGTATGCAGGGATAAAGTACCATGATTCGGGGGGTGGGGGAAATGAACATATATAAAGCAATAAAATGCAAAAGTGGCAAATGTTAACGGGTAGATACAGATGAAGGGTGTAAAAGTGTTCATCATAGTATTTTATCAACTTTTCTGTAGGTGTGAGAGTTTTCAGAATAAAAGTTGAGAAAAAAAATCAGTCTTAAACAGGATTCAGTTAGATATTGCACTAAAATGAAAACTGGTAATAATTAGTTGGAAAAAACACGGATTGCTTAGGTGAGTTTTTTTCTTTTTAAAACACTTAAATCAGTGACACTAAAGTGCTACTTCACAAAGCACGGCACCCGTAATTGTGTTCTCCTTACACGTTGGTCTTATTTAAGGAGCTGCAAGGAAGAAACCAAATGCTACATTAAAGGGTGGCCTTATTTTAGGGAATCAGTATAAAGAGTGTACCTGTGATTTGCCACATTAGATAATGTTTACTTGGTCATAAATGTCACGGCATGTAACTAGGCTACGTATTCTTTTGCAAAGCTTTTGTTTTAGATATGTATATCCGCGTATGTTTTAGGTTGGAAAATAAAATATTTTTTATGATGGGTTGCCATAAAAAAGTGTGAAATCTACAGCTTGACAACAAAAAACTAAACAACCTGATTAAAAAATAGGCAAAAGATGTGATCCGACATTTCTCCAGGAAAGATACACAAATGGCGAACACGCACACAAACCAAAGGTGCTCCGTCTTACCAATCGGTAGGGAAATGCAAATCCAAACCAGGGGATACTGCCTCACCTATTAGGATGGTTACTATCAAAACCGAGAAAATTACAAGTATTGACAAAGATGTGGAGAAACTGGAACCTTTGTGTTCTGTTGGTAAGACTGTAAAATGGTGTGGCTGTTACGGAAAACAGTATGGTATGTCTTCAAATTTAAAACGGAACTACCGTGTGAACCAGCAACCCTCCTCCTGGGCACATGCTGAAAAGAACTGAAAGCAGAACTGCGTGCCGTCGAACTGCCCCCAGAAAAGACTGCCTGCGTTGACACGTCTATGGCAGCGAACGAGAACAGGGGCTTCTGCACGCCACAGTTTGATAAGCAAAGAAGTTAATTTATACTTTATCATTAGTTTTAATTTTATATAGTATTTAAGAAATGTCAATAAATGTTAAATATTCCATCCCTTCAAAGCTCACCTTTTTTTCAAGGAGAATTAATTTAAACAGAATTAAGACCTGAACAAAAAAAGAAATACTGTATTACAATAAGAACTATGAACCCATTATTTATTTGCTTTTCCCCCTCCTCAAACATACCATATATCATTTAATCAACAATATTAATTATACTGCTTTAAAAACTCGTTGGAAATTATGAACTTGTACTAAGAAATTAAGTATTATTCCCTTTTCTATAACATGTGAGAACCACTTAAACCTTTAACAAATTGTGATTTTGGAAGGAGCTTTGCTATTTTTGCTTGAAACACTGCAAGCTCCCTAAAGGGCAGGAACTATTCATTCATTTCTGAATGTGTCCAGAGCATTCACATAGCAGACACTCAGTAATCGCTTGGTAAATGAATCATCAAGTGTGCATGCCTCATTCAACATATGCTTTAGTACAAAAGCTCAGAAGAAGTATAGATATTTTACTGGAAAATGTTTCACTCTTTTGGCAACATATAGTCTGCAAGATTAAAATGTTTCTTCCCACTCTAATTTCATGATATCTGGAATTACAAAGACAATAGAAAAAGTATTCTATCCTGTATTACAATAAACAGACAGCATTTGTATATGTTTAGAATTTTCTCTCATACAAGTTTTACCAACACTTTCGGCTCTGTGTCGCTGAGAGGTCTTGGAAGAAATAAAATATGGCTATAGCACAACGTGCGTTTGACCATATAGCAAATGAATTTATCCAGTTAAATGAACACAATTTTAGCACATTGTAAGTTAAAGGAGGTGTCATACCTTGTGTCGAAAATGAAGCACAAGATCTCGAGGAGACAGACCTATAATGTTAACAAAGAAGCTAATTTGTAACCACAACCTATTGTTTTTGTCAAAAGAAGCTTTTTTCCCCCTCAAAGGAAAGGCTGATTAAAAAAAAAAGTAGGAATGTGCAAATATTAAAATATTACACAGTGTTTGATTATGTACACCTGTACTCAGGATTTATCGGATTATTATTAACAGACAAACGCAGCACTACAATGAAGGAAACGTCCTCAGTCCGGGTAGTCCAATCCAGCGGCCACCGAGCCCTTGACATGGGGCGAGTGTGACCGACAAATTGGCTTTTTAGTTTTACTTAATTTTTATAATTCTAATCTACATGTACATTGTCACATGTCGCTAGAGGCCACTGTTGTGGACAGTGTGGCTCTAACACGTCCTCCCGGTGCTACAAGCATCTTACAAATGATACAAGCCGGGAAATCACAAGGCTCGTACCACGGTGGCAGTCAATCCTCCTAACACGGCTTTTGGCCACTCCACTCCACACTATTTCGGAACAGCAGTCTTCTCTGATCCTTTGCCATAGGGCAAGAGAAAGTAACTTAGAGAAAAAAATATGTTCTCAGAATAGGAGTGTTGTAACCAGCTTACGTTATACACAGGATTGCAGCGGTGAACTACCTGTTTGGCCACTTGAAGCTGAAATAGGAACTGACTGGGCATAAATCACTATGTGATTAGAAACATTTGTTTTAATCTTGAAAAGGAGTTTACTGAGTGTCTATTGAATACCTTGCACTCGATGGGTATTGTGGGTTGTCAAACAGTATAAAATAAACAAAACCCCCAACTTGAAAAGTTTTTAGAGCTAAGCAGATCTCTCTTGACACACTGAACAATGGATAAACAAGATGAAAAGATTTGGAGAAGCAAGGCCATAGCAAAAGGGCCTCGCTTCTCCAAATCTGTTCTGAGAGGGAATCGACCCAGCCAGCATCAATGCAAGGAAAAGTAAAAAACTTTCATCATTATTTTGAAAAGCAGGAATTTGCCTTATACAATAATAGTTGCAAATATTGGTACAAGTATGTTATGCCAATGTAAATACTGGCTCACAAGATATTTAAGGAAGCAGAAGCAGCAAACGTTGAAGAATTTAAATCCCACGTAGATACGTAATTCTGATCATGAAGTGCTACGTGCAACCAGCTCGGTGTGCCGAACAAGAAGTGAGGGCGTTTCCTCTGACTTGTAAGAAAGCTACTTACCAAGGTAAACCTGGGACCCTTCCAGCGACGTTCCTCCCAAGGAACTATTCATATGCTCATAGAGTTCCTATAAAATACAGATTCAGCTTAGACATGCTACTATATTTAGGACATTGAATTAGAAATAGGATGATCAGGACAAAGTTGGTTCTTTAACTGTGGCCGTTTGTTTTTCCAGGCCCAGCATTTAGAAACCATTGAGGTCTGACTGCAAACTCGCTGGGCGCCAGCCCTGCCCGTCTCTTCCTCTGCCTTTTAGACCTGAATTCATTCACATGGTGGGAGGGGTTCCTGGGGTAAACCCCCCTGCTTCCTTGCCAAATGCCAGTGGCCCGGCCCTCACTAGACTCCAGGGGAGACCCAGGCTCTCTACATTCAGAGCAGCCCCAAGAAAAATGCTGTCCGCTTCAGGAAGACAGGCAAGGGTCTGCTGGGCTCTGCAGTGGCGGGCAGCGGGGAGAGGCTAACACAGACACTGGGCGGTGGAGGAAGAAGAGCAGATTCGGAGGAGCAAGGCCCTAGCAAAAGGGCCATCACCCTTTCATCAGCAGAAGCACTTAGGTTAGTCAGTCATTCGCGTTATTGCCTAATGAAAGACAGTTTGGTTTAGTGAGTATGAACCGTACATTTTGGGCAGGCCCCTGTCTCTTCGATGTTCTTTTCAAAGACAGATGTCTTTCTTAAAGTAGTAAGTGGTTATCCTTCACAAGATTACTGACAAGATCTGCTTGACACGTGGATCGGTCTTCAGCCAAACACATCTATATAAGGGGGTATATAGTTACCTTTAGAATGGAAATTTGGGAAAAATCCTTCTCTTCAAAATACGCATGTGTGATGAGCTGAAGTTTTGCTTGAAGTAGGCCATAGAGGGGCTTGAAGAAAAAAGAGAAAATTGCCATTAGTTTGGTAATAGTGAAAAGACAAACACCCCCGGCCTTTTAACGTGAAGAGAACAGGAAGAAAAGAGCGAGTGACTCTCCGCGTCCGTGCGCTCTCACTCACGCGGGCTCCCCGCCTGGCTCTGGGCAGCGGAAGTGCCCGCCCTGCTCAGGGGGCGGCGGTGCAGCGTGGGCACCGACCTCCTGGGCTCCCCCATCACGCAGCCGCCTCCCCGCGCGCCTCCCCGCACCCCTCCCTGCTCCCACCTGCGTGCTGACAGGAGCGAGGGTATAGGAAAAGAGACCAGCTTATGGACTTGTTTCAGAATTAAATAACCAGGGAAAAGCACTTCGTAGAATATCCGGCACACGGAAAGCACTTACATGTTAACTATTACTATCATAATTCAAAACATAATCCAATTCTGCACACTGTTCTGTTGGCTTGTGGAGACATTTAATCATCCTTATGGCAGCTGGTTCTTACATCTAGGTGAACAAGAGTTCATTTCGCTTTTCTGTCCTCTGGAGGCTTACGACGAGTCTATGCCTCTATCACAGTATTTTTTTTATATACTTGAACAAAGTTATTCTATAGTTCCTAATGTTCCTATTTAAGACCCTCTTTTACCGTTTCTACCCTTTTATTCTTAATATTCTTTTCTAGATGTTTTATGATTCCTATGTCCCTTTTAGGATGCAGAGACCAATGCTCTATATATATATTCTAATTAGTTAAGACCAGTAATACTGGAATAGTTTTCCCCCAGTATTCCTGTTACAATAGCATTATTACCATCTAAGTATAAAGTCAATGCATCTTCATGTATAGACCACAGTGCGCTGCGCACCACTGCCCGCCTCGCGTGAGCTCGCTCTCCCCACCCCCTGTGCCCGTTTCCAGGCGGATACGGCTGGGTTTTCACTCCGATTTTACCACTTAGTAGTTAGATGTCTGTGAAAGACATCTTTTTCTCTTTGAAATATATATTTGTAAAATGACAACAGTAAATACTTATATCTCACAGTTGTCATGAGTATTAAAATGACAATTATATCTAAAAAGTGTCTGGTATAGAATTAATGTCTGAAATAGAGGCACTTGATAAATGCCGTTTATTGTTACTATAATTGCTCTTTAAAGAAAGATTACTCAGTAAGCTGTGCAACGTGTTGCATTTGCTGTAACATCTAGTACTCCTGTACGTCCTTTTCTTTGGTCATCTGGTCCAATATAAAAAGTAATTCACTGATGTATATCTTTCAGGCCACCCTTCTAGAAACTGCACACAGATCAGATTAGCAATCTACCAATTTTCTGATATTGGGATCTTGTATAATCATTCCTTTCCTAGGAAACTACTCTTGCCCTACACTTAAAATTACCATCTTTGAAGAAATACCCTGCTCCTCAAAATCTTATTATTAAGGCCCATGGTATCAAACTGTTATTAGAGATTTTCTTTGTTTTGTTTTTAAACTTAGTAGTAAAAGCCAAAATAAATTCTCTCTTGCAAAACTCAACTTACTTTAAGCAAATTACATTTAAACTGTCTGTGGATATAAGAAATTAGACAATGACAGAAGAAATAATTAAACAAAATCTATAGACATTTGGTGACTAGGCAACTAAAATAATCTCAGTTTTGGTTTAGATGAACTGCAGAGACATCTGTATTCAGTAATAATGTAGATCTAAGGTAATTAACATGAGAGAGATCTGGGCTTCCCCATGAGGCGATCTGGGGTACTAAACATTATATGTAGGATTAGGTATTTGGTGTTATTATCCTATTAGTAATAAAAGTGGGACATCACAAATGATTTAACGAAGAGAGCTATAAAAAATAAGAAACATTATAAATTCCTTTTAAAAAATAAAGTTAAAATGATTATACCCGTGCACCTGATCACCTGTACACAGAAGAAACAATTTAAAGTATTGTTATAATGCAACTCATTATGCTGCTCCCCTTCCTCAAATGTTTACAGTTTTTAAAGAACAAGTAAGGCCACAATTTTTTCATTGTAAAAGGGCCATTCACTTCTAGTGTCATCAATAAAAATCTGTTTAATTATAGTATTTTCACTTTTAGTAAAATATTATTTATTCAAAGCCTTGAGAACAAAACCGACATGGACAAATGAAATACACCCACTCCCTCACTGGTCAAGGGCAGCCCCCTTCCTTCCAGCCCGACCAGCCATCTCCTCCTCTGATCTGGTCCTGGAGGGGCAAGGGACAGTGCCGCTGCTGCCGGGCCAGGAGGAAGCGGAGCTGCGGGAGCACAGAGGCAGAGCCGCTGGTGACCGTGACCACATCGCTGTTTTCCTACGTCTCTCCTCATCCTGACAGTGCCTCATCCTCACATATGCATCTGCCGCGAATGTTTAGTAAGCACATTCACGGCGAGGGACCTGGTCCCTTACCAGCTTGCTGAGCACGCAGACACTCTTCTGCACCGTCTCTCTGGTGACATCCGCTTGCCGTACTTTCAATGCCTAGTACAGACAGTTGTTATTAGAAACAAATACTCAAAAACCATTATTTTAAACATAAAGTTAGAGAATAATTAGATAGAAAACGTTTCTGCATTTGGTTAATTAAATTCAAGAAGGATTTATGGAGAATCTCAGAAAAGATTTCCTGAGTGGGTCCGTGTTGGCTGGCCAGGGCGCTGTGAGCCGGAACCTGGGCGGCACAGAGAACAGAGCAGTGAGCGGCAGCCTCCGTTATCAGGGAACGGACAGTCTGTCAAAAAACACTTGATGTGTAAGTTGCCACACTCATAACGCAAATCAGCCCTCACTGGCTCTGGTCGTAAAATGGGCCGTCCTTTCAGGGACCATTGTTTCCGGTCAGTAGGAGATGGCTGAAGAGGTGGCAAAAGCAGCTTCTTCTCCAGAGATAAGAGAACGGTCCCCAGTTTTGTGAGCGGGGTCGTCCTGTGCTGCCTGGAGACTCTTCTGGCCAACTCGTGTTGCAGCCCGGCCTGCGCAGGCCTCCCTGGTTCTGAGGGCGACCAGCTGAGATGTCCACTGCTCTCCGCTGGTGGACAATGAGCCTTGAGTAGGTCAACCTCAGATAAGGGTGGGAGGGCAGTAAGGACGCTCTTCCCTCTCTAGTACTGCCTGGCGTCTCCTCGGATCTGACCTGAGGACCAGAGGCCCTCGGTGTTGTCAACTGACTGATGACTAGTGATTATAAGAGCGGAGCCCGTCCTCAGCCCGTTTTCTGCCTCCCTACCTTGCCTGGGGTCATTCGTTGGGTCCCACCTCACTCCAAGGGGCTTGGTCTTTCTCTTAGGACATCTGGCTTACCTGCCTGGTTATCAGACGAGGCCAGAACAACCTGGAGAAAAGGGCAACTCCAATATACTCTGGGTCAGACCCCGGGGGCGAGGGAGAGGAGCAGTGCGCAGAGCCAGTTAAAGGCTGTGCAGAGCGTGGGAATGGCTGTGAATGCCCACGGCCTTGGGGAATTAAATTTATTAGTGCTGACATAGCCTGCAGGGGGTGGGAGGTGGTAAAAGAACAGGTTTCCAAGGAAGGCCAGCAGCTTAACTCATCTCATACAGAAGCACATAAGGGTAACAGCATATGAAGAAATCAAAGGCACAAAGCTATCCTATAGTCTCCCCACCGCAAAAACCAAACCAAAACAAAACAAAAACACACACAGTGCTGCTCAGGCACAAGCCATAAAAGGGGAAGCTACCTACCTTGGTTTATTTGAATTTATTATTTAGAGCTATTATCGTAAGTCAGGCATTAAGCTGGCAGGTAGTTTAAGAAATATCAGAATCTTAGTTATAGATAATTAAGATAATTTGCAAGTAGTGGGAATCCCTTATCAGTACTTTCCACTACTTCTCAAATGCTGTTTAAAATAATAACAATAAAACACCCATTACCACTTCCACTTTTCTGTTATACACCAAACACTAGAAATAGAAAATTCAAGGACACCATGGAATTTAAATGCAACATTTAGAAGACAAACGAATGTTTGGTATCATTGTTTGAAAACAATGTACAAAACATTACATAGTTATAATTACCAACATCAACCTAACAAACACATTCATGTGAATAAATTGTTGCTCTTGGGCAAACGGCTACAAACTGTTTACAAAAATTTAAAGCAATATCACAGACACCACATTAAAGAAAAAACTATGTATTTCCCCAAATTTTACATGGTAAGTGGTCAACACTTAAGAAAGAATTGTCGAGTGGTTTTTGTGGCGCATTGTAACTATCCTACCTTGGCTTCAATCTGTCGATAGCAAGAGATACCATATACAGTGGCTCCACTTCCATTTCTGGGTGGCAAGTGAAAAAACACAGTATCTAAGAGATACACAGAAAAAGGTAAATGCTAAAGTGATTACTCTTATTAATGAATAATGACATTCTTGGTTATTCTACTGCAGTCATTAAAGACAAGACGATTACAAGGAACCCGTGCCACACTTATAGCTACTGGTTCCTCCGAATCCTCTCCTGGCCTCACAGTACACACTCACCACACAGGCACAAAAGGCTGAATTGTATGTAACAGGTCAAATTGAGCCTACAATCACGTATCTCAGAAAATACTTTATCTATTCAGGATTATTCCAGATTAAAAGAAAACAGAGAATCAAAAAAGGCAAAAGCAATACATGAGTCACGAACAGATCCAAGAAATTCTTGGGTGGCTGGGGAAATGTGAACATGGAATGGGTATCAGGTCATATTATGGAATTACTGACAAATCTCTTAGCTGTGATAATGATATTGAAAGGCATCCTGGGAATCTTATTCTTAGGAGATGCACGCTCAAGTAGTAGGAGCTAAAGTGTCATGTTATTTACAACTGACTTTCAAACAGTACAGGCAAAACTGTATACAAACACAAATACAAAGAATATTGTGGAATATTTGCTATACTATTCTTTCAACTTTTCTGTATGTTTAAAAGTGTTCATAAAAAAAATTAGGACAAAAACATCTGTGAGGTTCAAGTACTGTATTTAAATTTATTAACCTGCACAGTAACATTTGCTTCATTTCATTGAGAATTATTTAATATAAGTAAAACAGGTAATCCAACCAAGTTCAACCTAGTGTTTTGGGAGAGCCTCTAACACCATGAGGAAATGTAGCCCTTCATTAAGCCAGTCAAGGCACTCATTTACAGGGCGGTAGGAGACTCAGCTCTAACCGCACAGCGTTGCTTTCTTTGAGGCTGCCAGCGCGGTCTGCCCGCCTGCAAGCAACCTTGGGCAGAGCGCTGTGCTAACAATGGCCGCAGGGTGGAGAGCAATACCAGCTGTTCCCAGGTGGGTACCAGACCACTGCCCTTGTAAGTTTGCAGGCGGAGCCCCAATCAGCCGGCAGCTGGTGCAGGTAAGCCTGTAGGTAAGCCCGCAGTTCGCCTCTGGGAGGAGCCCGAAGTATAAATGCAGGATGGGCTGCCCGCAGCAAACGTCCTAATCTGGCTAAGAGTGGCTCAGATTCACCAGCCCTTACCGACGACGTAAGTCTGACGCTCTGCTGGCGATCCTCCCGGGCGTGACTAGTCATCTCCAAACAAGCACTTATATATTGGATCAACAGTCACAATGAACCAAAGGCCTCTCACTCACAAAGTACTTAGAATCAAAGACGTCCGGTCAAATGAAAAAATGACCCCCCTGATTGCTCCACTGCCCGTGTACCTACCTTCCTGGTAGTTGTGGGCGCCGTCCGGTAAGGCAAGGAAGGGCAAGTACTTCCATTCTTCAGGTACAGTGTGACTATCGTGCCCCTCTCCTGGGATCAGGGGCGGGTAGGAGAACTCCACCTGAAAGGGGCAGAACGCTGTTAGCCAAGAGGCCGTTGATCAAAGGAAGAATTTCATCTCCAAAGGCAAAAATGCTTTTAAGCCTTGAAGGACAGTAGTAAGGGTAAGCCGCGCTTGTTGATGTCCCTTGACATTATCAGCAAACCTACGGGGACAAAAGGCGTAAGAGAAAAAAGGAGTAAAAGGAAGAGAGATTTGTACACCTTTCCCCCTTGCTGATTTACCAGGCTGCTAAATTTTAATGTGCAGACGAGAGCAGTGGGTAGCGGCGGCGGTGACTGGATTGGAGATTTACACTTGGGAGGAGTTGCCATCAAACAGATGGTCCCCAGAGCCGTGGAGCCCGAGGACACCCAGCCTCCTGTGCACTGAGCGGAAGGGGTCCAGCAAAGGAGCCTGGGAGGGGAGCCAAGATCTAGGACTGCTTCCCGGCAACCGGCTCCCTGGTGCCCAGTCCTTGGAGCTTTGAGTTTAGGTTTTGAGAGGCAGCTGGTGGGGTGTGAGGGGAATTAAGCAACGTATCAGGTTATTATCGTTTTTAAAGATTGGGAATGGATCAATGAAAGTTCAAGGATGTCTCTCCAACACTGTGCCATGTAGAAAGAACACAGTTTTTAGTATATGCCCCCAGTTTCTGGCATCCCCCCGGTTTAAGAGGCATTTTCTCTCACCTTCTGCTCTGTTATTTCAATGAAATTTTGGGGGAGGAAAGCAGAACAAAATACTCCTTAGCTAATTTATAGTGTCACAATTTAATATGTCTTTCTATGGAAAGATATTAATAGTGTGTTGTTACATAGAAAAGCAGGTCATAAAACTTGATTACAGTAATTGTTTTTGGAAAAAGTTATATATATTCATAAAAAATACCTGGAGCACACTCTGCCTTTCCTGTCCCCCATTTTCCCCCACAGGCGCGCATCTCCTAAACTCCGAGGGGCCTCAGGAAACGTGCAGCCAGGGGAGGAATAGACGGGGCTCATCCCTCCTGCCCCCCAGCCAGTGGCCTGTCCCCAAGGACCCCTTTTCTCTGACTGGCCAGGGAGCCAAAGCAGCCCACCTAGGCCCTTCTGTTTGCTTCCTCAACCCTAAGCCCTTCCTTGCTTCACTGTCCCCCGCTTTAATAACCACGCTCTCAAAAACAAAGCAAAATGGGAAGGATATTAATCAAGGTGTTCAGAGCAGATTACACTGCTGGAATTAGTGTAAACATGAGTTCTAGTTTTCACAATTCTACTTTTTTTAGGTACAGTCTGGTAAAACCTGTTTGTTCAAGAATTAAAATTTCTAGTTATATATACAAAACTACAAACAGAACAAAATCGGAATGGTGGTCAAAAATCAAGTAATAGCCCTGGCCCGGTAGGTAGCTCAGCTGGTTAGAGCATGGGCCCGATATGCCGAAGTTTCAGGTTTGATCTCTGGTCGGGGCAAATAAAAGAATCAACCAATGAATGCATAAATAAATAGAACAAATGATGTTTATCTGTCTCTTCCCCTTTCCTCTTTCTCTTTAAAAATCAATTTAAAAAGTCAGGAAATAATTTCTATTTTTTATAATATCACTTTGGAAAATTACTATTCCTCATTAATTTGAGTGTTTTTAAAAAGTTCCAATCTATGAAAGAACAAAAAAAGTTCAACTGATATACATTTGATTATATTATTTTGCCAAAAATTACACTAATCTGATAAATACAGTTTATATATTTACTGCCACAAAGAAAATAAGGGACAAACATAATTCTGGAACACACAATCTATAATTACTATAGAAGAAGTGCCCATAAATTGTCTCGTGTCAAAGAATCTAACTGCAGGTGAGATTTTAAAGAAAGAAAGGTCCTTTACTAAATGCTAAATTTAAAAAAAAAATTCAGGAAAAGAGTTCAAATGGATAAATATCTCAAAACTATTTTAGATATCATGATAGTACTTTCACTCACTTAGAATGTCCTAAATGTAAAGCATATCCATCAACTAGAATTTATCACCACTATAAATTAACATGTTATCTACATAAGAATTTCCTCCTACAAATTACCCCAATAAATTTAAAGAAACTGACCAAGTGGTAAAGTTATTACATGTTCCTTTTAATTTAAATGAAGGAATGTTTCATTAAAATACATCTAAAGGCCTCAAAGGTGAAAACAAAAGTAGGAAACAAGACGATGGAACATCTACATGCCCAGTCTGGGGATCTTCAGCACAGCCACAGTAGAAGATGGCTCTAGCCGTATGGTCCACGTGGACTCACCTGACTCCTTTCCCACGGCAGTCGCTACAGAGCAGCTTTGCAACAGAAGAGTCTATGAAGATGTAGCACATTCCCCTACGCAACGTTACCATGCTCAACCCTGCAGGCTGTTGTTAAGGCATTCCTTTAAACAGATGACAAATGACAACCAAGAATGGGAACTTTCGCTGTGAATAATCTCAGCGCATGGAAAGAACTGGTGATCAACACCGTCCGCGGCATTTGGAACATCTGGAAGGCCCGTCTAACAGGCCACGCTCCCACAATCTAAAACCATCTGAAGTCAGGCTCCATTTAATGAGCCATGCACTCTCAGTCCTCTGCACCTGGAAGGAAAGTTTTTAAATGGAGAATAAGATGTGCCCTGACCAGTTGGTTGGGCATCAGCCTGCAAAGCAAAAGGTCACTGGTTCCACCCTGGTCAGGGTAAACACCTGGGTGTAGTTTCAGTCCAGGTCCGGGAGTGAGCAGCAACCCACTGACGTTCTCCCTCCCTTCCCCACTCTCTAATAAATAAATATTTTCTTTTTAATGGAGAATAAGGTAGTTGATGATTATACCCTGAGGGAAATCTTACATAATCAGACCTTCTGGAACACCTGATACACTGATTTTGCCTCTGCATTGTCTAATTTTAGCAAGACTCCTGTTAGGTTTAGCTGGAAACCCCCTGGATCCCTGATGCAGTAAATTTCCATTCCTGATCCCCGCTCCGCTCCTTCACTATAAATTCCCACTTTCCTTGTTGTATTCAGAACTGAGCCCAGTTCCATACTGAGGTCTCTTCTTCCCTAATGCAATAGCTTTTCTGAATAAAATGTGGCTGTACCGCTTTGTCTATTGTCCAGCTCTGGTTTTTCTGACTGCACCGAATTAGCTGTGACTATGCTTACATCACTTAGCCTTTCTGGGTTTCAGTTTACTCATCTGTAGATTTAAGAGAGATGGAGTGGACGATCTGTAGGGATCCCTGGCAGGCCTGAACTCCTCAGGAAGAAATAAGGTACAGAAGACTGAAGCAATTTGCTCTTGCTGGAGGTCTGGAGCGATGAGGCTGGGCCGCCATCCAGGTCTCCTGGCTCCCAGCATAGTGTTTATTTCACAAAACCAGTGACCTTTATAAACTGTAGTGCTGAAACCAAAACCAGACAAATCCAGAGAAATGCCAGGGTGTGACTTCAGCCCAAAGTGCCTCTTTCCTCTTACAATCTGTTGTTCGGTTTTCTTTCATCTCGAAGCAGCATTACATTTTGTCTTCTAAAATAAATGAACTTTTCCTCACTGGGAATAAAAAGTATATTACTTTTGCCAATAAAACAGATATAAATCATAATAATTAATGTGGACTTTAGATGACAGCAAAAATTAGAAGATTTTATTTGATCGCCTACCAATAGTTCCTTCTTTTGTGTCTTCAAAACAATTTGGTTCAGAAGGGGCTTCCCACTTTTCACTTTACCCTCAGAGCCCCTAAATGCCACAGGGCTCCTCAGAACTGACACCCGCAGGGCCAGGGCGGTTGATTCTAGGTGTGACTCCTGGGCTGTTTGGCAGGGTGACCTCAGCACGATCATTTTACTTCCTCCAGGCTTCAGTGACTTCAACCACATCACCAGGAAGTTATAAAGTGACAATTTAGATCAAAGACGTGAAGTGTTAAAGTATTATATAAATTTAATGGCAAACACTTTGCACGCCATGACACAAACTCAACTATCTATTCTCTTACCCCTAAATATAGGGCCCCATTTAAAAACCTTCCCGTCTACCGCGGCTGGGAATTTTTTAAATACCGCACTGCCGAGCGCCACTTCCTCTCTGGTATCTGTCAATGCCATTTCCACCGGCGGGACAAGGGACAGCAAGCACAACCATCTTCTCACTTCATCCCTATTCTGTCATCCTCTAACGAACTGAAATTTTGCCAGTAAAAACCTTCTAAAATGTTCCATTCCTGTGAAATACAAGAAACGAAATGCTACCTTACCTAATGGTAGCAATCAGTATTTTTTAATATCGGAAACACTTCATTTCCTGTTCACTAGCCCATTATGACATCACTGCCGGAATCCCAGGGTGGGTGCTCCTTAGATAATTCTGTTTCTATTTTCTTCCCTTGCCTTCAGTACCTGGACTGCGAATGCGCTCCTGTTCCCTTCACCGTTTCGGGGAAGAAGCTGAGACATGACTTTGTATTTGCACATTTCTTTGCTCGGTAAACACACTTTCTTTTACTGCAGCTGAGCTGGAGAGGTCCATCTGTCACCAAAAGGCTGAGCTGGACGAGATCAAACAGCACTGGGGGGCGGAGTCAATACACCACCCTAAGGCGACCGATTCTAGGGCTTCCAAAGATAAACAAAGGAAGTCGATTTTCCCACCGCGCCGCACGTGCTGCCACCAACCGCAGGCATCGGCGTGGAAGCCCACCGAGCTCGGCGCCTCGCAAACGCAGTCCAAGTGCGGAATCTCTCCAAAGGCTGCCCCCGTCACAGGCGGGCACCCAGAGAGTCGTGGAGACAGATGGACGGGAAGATTCGATTCCTTCCTCCCACTCCCCCAAAGCACCTACGCACCCACCGACTGCAACGCCCGGCCGCAGAGTTTCTCCGCCGCGAGACGCAGCTTTCAGGGGCGGGAGGAGCGAGGGGCGTGGGAGGGGCTGCAGGTGGGGCGAGCTGGAGGCGCGGGAGACCGGAGCCGAATTCGCAGGGAAGGGCCGGAGGCGCTGTGGGGACGGGGCGGAGGGGTGCGCGCCGCAGGCGACTGGACGCCGGGACCGCCGGGGTCGGGATCGGGCCCCTTCCTCACCTGGCAGCCCTTCTTATGATGAAAGCCGACCACCACGATGTGCAGCACGGGCCCCCGCGGGGCACTCTGCCAGTCCCGTCCGGCCTTCTCCATGGGCAGCCGCCGCGGGCCCGCACCACCACGACGTCAACCGCCAAGGGCGGCGGGCCGGGCGACGCGGCGGTCCCCCGGAGGACGGCGATCGGCGGACTTCAGGTGTCAATCGGGGCGCCGCATGGGAGCCGCGCCGGGGGCCTGGAGGAGGCCGAGGCTCCTGCAGCTCTGCCCCGCCCCCTGGGCCGCCGCCGCGCTCCGCTCGGCGGCGTCGGCAGCTTCCGGGCTGTCACCTGACGCGACCGCCGGGGAGGCGGGGCGGGGCCGCGGCTGCCGGGACCCGACGGGGCGGGGCCTAAGGAACCGGGCACCGCCCGAAGGGCGTGGCGTCTGGAGGGGCGGGGCCGGGCGGTGACTTTCCGCACACCTGTCCCCGGCTCTCCTGTTGTCCACCTGCTTCCTCCTCCTACTCCCTCTCTTTTTCTTCCTTAAAATCTCCGACCCTCCCCTCTCCTTTCCTCAACTTTACTTCTTTTCAAACGTCTTTTCTGTATCCAGTTCCTTCCCTTCCTTTCCTTGGACTCTCTGGCCTAGGGTCCCTAGGCCCTTTATTTTTAAACATTGGATGAGGAGGAGGCACGATGGTGCAACTCTGTCTGGATGTATTCGGTAGTTAAATGCTTGCCCAGCGTTTCTCTTTTGCTTCGTTCTATGTCTTTGTTTTTCTTTTTATTTAAATATTGTTTATAGGAATTTGGAAGCAACTTTAGGAGTGAAGAAGCCTCAGAATATCCTTGACAATAAAGGAAGTTTACGGGGAGACCTATAAAATAATTATTCTAGTCCTACTATTTAAAAAAAACATTACTTTCTTTTTTCTGGGTTTAGTACTCTGATTGGCGCAGTATATATGGGATCTGTTGTCACCAGAGTTTTTAATTTCCTTGCTGTTGTACTTCAATTTTTTGTTAAAGCATTGAATATCATCCTATGCCAATTTAAAGTGAATAGTGGAAATACTAACAGATTTAACAAGTCTTACCCAGGGCAGTTTGGGGGTAAACAAAGGCTAGGTGCCTGCTTCAAATAGAATTTGAGAACACTGCAATAATTGGCTGTGAAGTTTACTATCATAATTACACATCCCTTAGTTTAAAAAACTTCAGCAGTCGGTATTTTCCACTCTTGGCCTTGACATTTAAGGACCTGCACTCTAATTTAAGTATAGTGGCTAAAAACAGTAGGCTTCCTATGATCAGGTTTAGTTTCTATGATTCAGCAGAACTGGTTTAAAATAAAAATACTGTAAAATTTTTCTCAAAATGCTGCTATCATTTCTTTTCTATATTGCTAAATTCTTGGCATTAGTTCAGAACTGCATGAAACTATATTATTCCCTGTGTGCAGAATGTTACCGTTTTCTTCCATCTGACTTGGTATTTTCCACAATTGGAATAGCTAAACTTAAAGTCTAATCGAACATCTTGTTAAAAAGATCTAAGGATAGGGCATTTGAGAGCTCTATATATTCAGGGAATGCCAATTGTTTAATTCAGTCATGGCTTCATAAAAATGGGTGTTGCTTTATATCCTAGGGCTTCAAACTAAGATTAAATCGTTTGTTCACAACTATTGCTTAAATGTTTAAAAAGTATATCATTTAAAATATCCTATAAACTAAAAAGAATATATGCTATAAACAAAGAAGCTACTTTATGGGGAAAATTGGAAGAGAAAGTTAGTAAGGGAATTTCTAGATTTTTTTCCTTCTCTAAATATACAGACTGGCCCATTTAACAGTTTAGAATAACAACTTTTACATTAATTTTTTATGAGTTATATTAATACAATAAATTCATTAGCAAGATGTCTATAAGGACAAATACATGTTAAGAAAAAACCAGAAATTTATTCTCTATTATAAAATGTGTTGGAAGGAGATTTCAAGATTGGAAATAATTTGAGATAATGGAATACTTTCTGAACATTATTTTGAAAGGAAACTTTTGCTTGTATTTGTATGATATTTATCTCCAGTGAAAAAGTGAGAAATGCTTTTCTGAACACATAATACATTGAAGAGCCTCTTCTAGTGACATATATTGTATGATGGACAGGAATTCTATTTGGTGACTACCCTGTAAAAGATAGAAGGAGGAAAACCATGGGGATGTAAAATGAACTCTCACCCCAATGGGTGTGGCTCAGTTGGTCGGGCCTCTTTCCACAAAGTGAAAGGTCACCGGTTTGATTCCAGTCTAACTGTGTGCAAGAGGCAACAACTCAATGTCTCACCCCCCGACTCCCTTCCCCTCACTCTAAAAATAAATAATAAAATCTTAAAAAGTAAAATGAACTCTTTATCTGGAATTAGCCTGTTATTTCTTTTGTATCTCACCTCAGGAAAAAGGACAAAATAAAACCCCTCCCTTCCTGTAATCTCCTTTAACTTTATTGTGTAAATGAGTTTATCTTCATTTTCAGATTACCCTAGTCCCTTCTTATCTGCTGGGGATAGTTCCACAACGCCCCAGTGGTTGCTTGACACCTTGGATAGTATCGATCCCTATGTATACTATATATATTTTTTCCTTATTCAGTTGAGAACTTTCACTTTTTCACTTAAAGGAGGCATTTTTGTGGCTTCTCTTTGGCATATCCGAATTGCCAGCATTGCTACTCTTGCGCCTCCAGGCCATTATTAAGTAAACATAAAGGTGATGTGAGCACTGAGATACCACTACCGCCAAGCTGATCGCCAAGTGGCTACTAAGTGACTAACGGGCGGGGAGCATGAGGGCCTGGAGATGCTGGCCAAAGAGATGAATCACTTCCTGAGCGGATGAGAGGGATGACCGGAGATGTCATTCCTCTACTCAGAACAGCTTGCCCTTCATAAGTTATGAGTTATGTAGTTCTGGAATTTTCCGTTTAATGTTTTCAGACCATGATTGACAAGCGTAACTGAAAGTACGGAAAGCAAACCCACAGATAAGCAAGCACTACTGTATAAAGAGACTTTATTCTTCATTAATAGCATTGAAAATTGCCAACGTTCGTTTTATTACTATAATGGAAAACAAAGTATTCACTTTCTTAAAATATTTTTATTAATTTTAAACTCTATCAAGCAATGACAATGACTTGGGCTCTGCTCTCTTTATTGTATGGTTAAAATAAAACAAGAATAGAGATAAAAAAAGAAAAGCCAGGAAAAGTCATCACAAGCAAATTTGGCATTACTTTGTCTTTAGAATTTCATGAAGATCTAGGAGAATGAGAATCAACTTAAAGAACATTCATTAGACAATAAAGTACACCTGGAACTGTGTGTATTTAAAAAAAAAAAAAAGAAATTGCTGCTTTAAAGTGGCTCATGTCTAGCTATAAAAATAAGATGAATGTGAAACCAGCTAGCAATGCTAGCTTTTGTAGCACATACTCTAAGCCAAGCATCATGTTAAATATTAGGAAACCAAGATGAATAAGCAGTAATAGCTCATGTTTAAAAAATAAGCACTAATGTGCCAGTTCTCTGCTAACCACTTTGAATGGATTATCTCACTTAGTCTTCACAGCAATTACAGGTAGACACTATTATCCTCATTTTTTCCCCAATGGGTAAATTGAGACTTACAAAGTTAAATAACTTGCCTAAGGCCAAGTAACTGCAAGAAATAGTGGTGGAGATAAGATTTAAACTAAAATAATTTAACTTCAGAACCAATGGATTTAATAACCATACTGCTTCCCAAAGTTCTTGACTTTGAAGAACTCACAGGTTATTTTGTGTGGGGGTGACAGCCCCTTGGATAGATAATTATAAGAGAAGACGTTGAGCGCATTCCGAGAGAGCATTCCAGATCCTTCATGTTGTTGCAGGATCATGAGAGCCCACCAAGTCTGCAAGTTTCACAGAGAGAGTCACATCTGAGCAGGGCCTTGAAGGATGAACTGGATTTCTCGGAACCTGGGGGCAGAGCGTCCTAAGTGCAATAAAGTAAAATCACTAAGAACTGGAGTCATCAAGGGAAACATCTGGGAACGGTTTTACGCCAAACTTAGAGGAAACATGAGAGAGTTAAATTAAAGTGCAGCAAGAGATGTTTGGAGGCAGACACATGCCAATTGCACATGGCATTCTCCCGACTTGAAATGCTCCTCCTGCCCCTTTTCCGCCTGGACAGTTGTTGCTCATCCTCCGTGGCTGGACCCCTGTCACTTCTCTGAAGCTTCCCAAGCTATCCCTGTGGCCAGTGGGTGAATTATTTAACCTGAGTATGAGGAACTTCATCCTAACACTTGTCTCAAAGGCATCATAAAGATTAGGAGTAAGTGTATTTATAAGTTTTCTGGTGCATAGAAAGTGCTTAATACTCAAGAAATTAAAAAAAAAAAAAAAAAAAAAGCCAGGATTGGCTCGGGATCCTGAAGGAGGGTGAACCTACAGGGCTTTGAACTCCATGTCCCATCTGTAGGGGCTTCTGAACCTCCTCACTGACATTTCCCTTAAATCTTACTTATTTCTCTAGAAATCCTGAAGCTAAAAGAAGCCTTTTAGTCTATACATTAAATTTCATATGCTTGTACGTGTTTATCAGTTGTCTTCCGCCTTCGTACATCCTTAACTCCTAGAAGGGCAGAAGACCTTGTCGTTCTGTTCTGTACAATGTTCTATACTCAGCAAAATACCAGACAAATGGTGTGAAACTAATACATCTTTATTTGTTCAATGAATAAATGATGGGTGCTTTGCAACCATTTGTTGTATAAATGAATAATGTTCTTCAGGTCTCTCTTGTTTAGGCTCTAGCTTTAAGTTGCTAGGACACAAATAGAAAATACACTAAAGCAGAAATTTGTTTGCTTTCTATTCTACACAGAAGTGCAAAAGCGTTAAGGTTTCCTAAGAGTGATGACGTTAACAGAGAGTGACGTTAGTTAACATAGAGTTGCCCGTTACACAGTGCATTTAAGAAATAGTGAATGCAAAAAGTATATATATTTAAAAAAGCCTTCTCTATATAACAAGGTCGAGAACAATGAGTTAAATACAGTAGAAAAACAAAAAGAAAACATTTAAATCCCCATACTCGAAAAGTTTACAAAAATTGCTGGTTGTGGGTCTCCTCAATGAACTTATTCAAAAGGCGGGATTTCTTAATGTCTCTCGGAAACTTCGACGGGAGAGTGGGTAACTGTCGAGATCGCAGAATGGTCCGTGGACAGAAGTATTTCCCAGGTCTCACTGCCTGCGAACGGAGGGCCCGGGAGCGATCGCGGAGGACTGGCCCGATCGCTCGCTCGGCCTTAGATTAGTTGATCCTGTCCCGGCTGCGGTGGGAAAACAGCGGAAGCGCGCTCTTTTAAACTCGCCGTCCCGACGTCGGTGGACGCAGACCACTTCCGGCGTCGCTATGGCGGCTAACGCTACCACCAACCCGTCGCAGCTGCTGCCTCTAGGTATTGGTCGTCTTGTGGGAAACGGGGGTGAGGAGGTGAGGCTTAGGCTTGGGGGCGCAGGACCTGCGGACTGAGGGAGCCCAGACCGAGCGTGAGAGAAGCGCCTGGGACCGACTGCTTTCCCGCCTAGCCCCTTGTCTCTAGGCTCCACGTCTCTGCGGTCCCAGGCCGCCCACCTCTCCCAGGCGTGGTAGGGGCCCTTTGGGTAGGGGCTGGGTAACTCCCGACCCACAGCGTCACCGGAGAAGGTCCGCACTCGGAGAATGCGTCGCCAGCTTTCTTTATTGTGAGCAGTCCTCCTCAGCCTGGCGTTTAAGCTCCCAGGTTAGACCCCAGGCCCCCGCCGCGACCCCCGTCCCAGGGCTGACCGGTTGTTGAGAGAAGCCCCAGGGTCTGCAGTGCCCTTCAGAGAGGATTCTGGAAACCAGCTCTGTTTGCCGTTCATTGGTTCAGCAAGCAGCTAGGTATCGGGTACCTGCGCACCACACGTGGCTGGGCACGACCCGACAAATTTCAGTGACAGCCATCGCCTTCAAATAGCACACAAACCAGGGGAGGAGACAGGCTACGGGACAAATACACATCACACGAAACAGCTCCAGGCCGGCTATCGAGGCGCGTAAGCTGCAGAGTTCAGAGGGTAGACGTCTCAGGGTGACAAGAAGGACTCTGGTGAAGACAGGCCTCTCCCTAATATTTTGTAGCCGAAGAGTGATCGAGCTAGTCTGTAGGGCTGTGATTGAGGTTTTTACTTCATGGGACAAACTTTAAAAATAAAATTATTTTTCAATGACAGACTCATTTTGAATACTCAGCAGGCACTGGCCCCTGGGGATACAGTGATAAGAAAAAACCGGTTTCCGCTCCCATGGAGCTGAGTCTGGGGAGGGGGGCAGTTCATGTGTTAATTAAACCTAATATAAAACCACAGCTATGATGAATTGCTGCAAAGGAGAGGTGCGTAGAGAACAGGGAAAACGGTTCTGTTAATGTTGTGATTGAACAGAGATGGGTAGTATAAAATCCATTTTTTGAATGAATGCTTTTTCCTGGTTTATCCCCTGTGTGCAAGTAATGAAGTTGCCAGTAGGCACGCAGATATTTGTTGAAGTAATGAATTGGTAGAATAATCTTTTCCTTCTTCCTTTAAAAAAAAAAAATAATACACAGAGCTTGTGGACAAGTGTATAGGATCAAGAATTCACATCGTGATGAAGAGTGATAAGGAAATTGTTGGCACCCTTCTAGGATTTGATGACTTTGTCAGTATCCTTTTAACAAGTGGTGGAGGTATGGGGTTTTTCTTCAGTGTTCTTAAGACCAGAATAAGAACTGTAGACAATCGACTTACTGGTAATTATAATAAAAATCAATGTATTCTCAGGGAAGTTGTGATAGTATTTTAACTGGATGTAACTTTAAGAAGATAAAGTTCCTGCCGATCACAAGGTTTTTGAATTTGCACCACTGTGTTAAATGTTACCATTGAAACTGAACACAGGCAGAAAGCCAGAGTAAATTCAACCTGATATATTTATTGTCTTAACACCAAACTTCAGATATGGTACTGGAAGATGTCACTGAGTTGTGAGTAGTGTTAAAAATTAAAGAATTGGGGGTGGGGGATGGGAAATCTCTTTTAATTTAAGGCAATTTTATACTGTTGAGTCAGTAAAATGTATGAGAAAACATTGCTGGTTGGAATTACCTTAAACATAGAAGTTTTATTTACTGAGACTATGCTAGTAAAATTGGATTTGTGGGTAATTACCTTAATGCATTATTACTGATTTGCTAGGAAATTAGTAGAGAAAAAGCTTTAAGGTAAAAGATACTAAAAACAGGACTCAAGTTAAATGAAGGAATTGACAGTAAGAGCAGCTAGTGCTCTTAAGTAAATTACTGCTCTGTAATTTCTGTGCAAGATAAAATGTAAAGGATGGCTCAGTTACAGTAGTTATAAAGAGCACCACCAGTGTCTCTGCTTTCAGGACTGAGTTGATTCCAGACTGGTTTAGTGGATAGGAATCTGTAGTAAGTAATAGGAAAAAGAGTGAGGATAGTGAACATTTCATTTCATATTTGATCTCTTTGGCTTATTTCAGCTTTTATGAAGATCGGCCCTAGTGGATGTGGGTCTTAGGCCAGTCAGTCCACTCTGTTGCCTTTGGGGGAAGAATGTACATCAGCCAGTGGATAACCTTTGTCTCGGAAAACTTGCTATAATTGACCTCATGTTCATTTATAGATAGTGATAACCTTTTTAGGGATGAAAATGTTGGTTTTGATTATTGCTGTTTATGTTGACTCTTGCTTGTTTTTTATCTATTCATTTAGTGAAATCACACCAGAAGGGAGAAGGATTACGAAATTAGACCAGATTTTGCTAAATGGAAATAATATAACAATGGTAAGACAGTCAAGCTGTTGTACTTCGATGTTAGACCATTTTATTTTGTTGGGGAAGGGATTAGAGAACTAACTTGCTTGATCCAGTGCTCACAGCCCTGTGGTGCTTTAGGTGGGAAAGGGATCAGGGCTCGAAAGCCAAGCTGTTGACAGTGGTATTGGGCCTGAAGATCAGTTTGCTTGTGCTTGTTACGCTTTTATTTTCCTGAGGATTATTGTTGAGACACTAAGTGTTACTCAGCAGTGGTGGCATCGTGATAGTGCCACGGAGAAAAGGGCACGTGAGGGAGGGCAGAGGGGCAGAAGCGGCTTTGGTCCACGAGGCGCTCTCAGTAGGTGTTTTTAGATGATTTCGTGGTGCTGTTATTAAACTTTTTCCTCCTTTGCAGCTGGTTCCTGGAGGGGAAGGACCGGAAGTATGAATGGAGTCCCTTGACTTACCCTAGATTCTGTATCGTCTCGTAATGACAACAAAATATAAAAATTTTTTTAAGCCTTTCATTGTTAGGATTCTGTGAAGCTAAGTTTCCCGTTAAAGGGGAATGCTTTGAAGAGGCATTGTAAATGCCATTTTATAAGTTAAATCATGTTTATCTTGGAGGAAAAAAGAACAGTTTGTTCTTCGAAGACTAAAATAAAGGTGTTTTTGGTTGTCATTTTATTTATTATACTGCCATAGCCACTGGGGCAAAGCTTGTAGTTGTTTAGTCAGTTCCTCTCTTGTCATGTTATGCCTGTTTGCTGCCTTGTTTCTGTGACCACTTGATTCTCAAAAATTGTTCCAAACATAATGGGGAACTTTGATTTTTGAACAGATGCATTAAAAAAATCCCAAAATGATTTAATTCAAACTTTGATGTTTTGAAATTAAGATTTTTCTATTGAACTCAAGCTCCATTAACTCCTATTAAAAATAAGCAAAAATACACAGATAATATTTGTACATTGTAGAAATGCAGATAAATAAAAAGGAAACATTCATCATGCTTCACTGTGTATCCTCTTAGACTTTCTCAGCACACATTTTATATTTACAAAAATGTTTCGACCCTGATTACACTGTTTTGTAGCCTCCAGGTAAGAGTTTTAAAAAATCTCAATGAACATCTTTCCATATTAGGTATTTCAGCAACATTAATGTGTGTGCAGTATTTCGTTAAATGGATTTACCATAATTTATTTAGCCTCTTATTGGCCACAGTAGTCTCACTAAACCTTTATACGTTTTTGTTTTTCTTAGAAGAAATTCACAAATGCATAAGGTCAGAGGGTATATATCATGTTGCCAACAAGGTTTTGTCAGCAGTTTTTCACAGTTGCCACCATGGGCTGTTTTTTCTTAACATTGTGATGGGCAAAACCTGGTATGTTTAAAATTTTCTTTATTGTACTTTGTGAGTTACTTCTATGAGGCCTTTGCCATTGAGATGCTTATCTTGTTTCTTACTAATTTTTAAGAATTCTTAATAGGTTACTCTTAGTCATGTATTTTGCAGGTTAAATTCCCCAATTTGTAATAGTTTGCCTTTTAGTGGTACATTGTTTGTCATAAATAAAAACATATATTTCTGTAGTCATATGTTGGTCTTGTCCTTTATGGGTTTTGTCTATGGTACACATGGATTAGAAGGAACTTTGTGGTGGTATGTTTTTCGGTACTTTTATACTTTGTTTCATTTAAGTTTTGACTATCTTCAGTTTTAGTCACTTGAAAAAAGGACCCCGCTGTATTTTCTAAGAACAAAGCACTGATCTGTGGTAGGTTTTGATTTTCATGGTGTCGCCGCTCCGACCGTGGCTGACGTCAGGCGGCCTGGGGGTTGACAGCCGCTCGCGAGCTCCCGCAGGTGTGGCAGTTGGTTCTCGGAGTCGCTGCTTCCGACCTGTGCTGGGGGATGCTTGCCTTCCTGTTTCTTTCCTTCGGGAGGGAGGCTAAAGGATGTGTACCGTCCTCTTACCTCCCTTTACTCTCCATCCTCCACGGTGGTCACACTGCTCTGTTCCCCCCCCCAGGAGCTCGCTGTCCGCAGGGGGCCGGCGCTCAGTGTGAGAGGGGCCTGGCCTCGTGTGGGGAGGCCTGCGCTCGTCCAGCCTGTGGCTGGCGGCTGAGCTGGCTTCGGGGTTCAGTAATAGGAGGTTCCCTTGGCTACACAGAAACCGTGTCTCAATCTAGCCTTAAACAGTAATACAGACAAGGTATGGTTCTCCCATCTGTTTACACTTGGGTCTTTGAACTTCATTTAGAGTTGGTACTCTTCTAAATAAGGGTTTCTTAACTGTGGCGCTACCGACACTTTGGTCTGGCTAATTCTTAGCTGTGTGTGCGTTGCAGGATGTTGCGCAGCATCCCTGGCTCCCGCATGCAGATACCAGTAGCGTCCTTCCTCTCTTCCCTGCCCCTCACGTTGGTTGGTATTTGAGAGTGACTTCGTGATAGGCCGCCCTGGTTCTCCATGGTTTTAACGGTGCCAGCCGGTGGGCGAAAAAAACAAAGAACCGGAATGCCAGGGAGGCGTGCGTTGTTCCCCGTCTGGTGGTGGTTTTCTCACGGAGGAAGGTTGAGCAGCATCGCAGTGCACTGGGCTGCTCCTCCGTCCCTTTGTTTGCTCTGCCCAGGAGACTGAGTGGCCTGCCTGATTAAATGTGGGAGGAGGGATGCTGGGCGTGTTTGCCTCAATTCCTTCTTCCTCTTGGGGTTGAGTTGCTTTCAGGGAGTGTATGTTACATCCTGCTTTTGGCTGTAACCTTTATAGGGGTCTGCATGAAGACATGAAGACGTCTGGGGTGGTCCGGCATGCCTGTGGTTTTGTGGGTTCATCTCAGTAGGTTGGGAGTTCCGTACTAAGATGTTAACTACAGCCCACAGGTAGAAGCTACATCATCTAGTGTCTGTCTAATAAAGCTGGTATTTTGACCCGTCTGTTACCATTCTGTCCTTTTTTTCAGTTGGTTCAGAACTCAGTCGTGGAAGAGGGGTGCTGACTCCTGGTCCCCTCAAAGACTCCAATAGCCCTCAAGTCTCTGACTCAACACCCTCCTTTCCCGGGCTGCCCCCTCGTCCCACATGTCTGCCCCGCACAGCCACGAGGGCATGTGAGCGATTTCTCTGAAATGCAGAACATGGACACGTGGCACTTGGGCTTTCGAACCTTCCAGTAACTTAACCCTCTGCACAACAAAAGCCCAAGTTCCTTGACAGGAGGCCATGAGGGATGCCTGTTGACCTTGTCAGCCAGGTCTAGGCCTTGCCTTAGTAACAGAGCTTGTAACACTGGCTATTTGCTCTGGACTTTTGACTTATGTTGGGCCTCTGTGGGAATACCCTTGAGTTTCAACTTCTTTATTTGGCTTACTTCTCCTCCATTGTCACTTCCTCCAGGAAGTCCTACAAGCTCCCCCACCCTTCTACCACCTCTCAGTGCTTAAACGTGACAGGTCATGGAGACTTCAGAGTGACCCTGCATCATACAGTCCTGCACAGCATCCTCAAGCAGTTCATGCCAGGCAAGTCCTGGTTTCAAGGGAAACCAGTCTTGTCACACTCTTGGACCAGGAACTATAGAGTTGGCTGCCGCGAACCCCACCAGCACCACTGACATCTGAATATCTTAAATTAAAAAAAATCCTATAAAGTGACATTAGGGATATACAAGGATCTTGTTGCATTTTTGTGAACCTCATGCTTTTATTATTAATGAATTAATGATTTAATCACTACAAATACAGCAATGAACAGAGAAGGATCCCCAAATACGGACCAGTGGTGAAGGCTGGTGGCGAATGAGTCATGGACAGTGAAGCTACGTGTCGGAAACTCTGAGGTTGGATGTGGAACTTTTTCAGTCTCTTCCCTCTATTGAAACCTTCTACAGAGAGACATTGGGAATAGACAAAGATCATAGCCTCATATTGATTTTGTAGATGTAGATTTGTTATTAATGGAACAATGATAGAACCGTTCAATATAAATAAATGCATGGAGCACAATGAGGCACTGTTCAACCCTGACCGTGTGGTGAGGCAGCACAGCAGCCCCGACAGCCCCGTGCCCCGTAAGAAGTGAGTGGATACAGGGTTCACCTCTTTGACACAGGTCGTAAAGCTTCTGCTAAGGAATTTTACTGTTCCAGGTCAGCCTCAAGATTGAGTTTGTTCTGTGTCATGATAAAAATTATATATACTAAGAAAAAAAAAACAAACCCTAAAATACTGAACCAATGAAATGATTAGGTGACTATCTGAATGCCTTAGGAGTTTGGCTGACAGCAGCGTCCGGGGCCCTGTGAGCGCCTCTCAGTGGTATCTCTAAGGGGAGTGGTTAGCGTGCCATCTCAGCCCAGCCTGATCCCCAAGCCTATGCTCTGCTCCACGCACAGAGAGTGTGAGGCCAGCAGGCATGAGGCTGGAACAGAGAATGGCTGGGAAACAGACTTAGTCTACTTTGTCCAAGGTTGACCCTGGCTGAATCTTTGGTTATTGGATGTTTTATTCTTGAATTTAAGAAAAATCGTGTATGACATCATCTGGCCGCTAGAGGGCACTGTGGAACAGGCAGCTAGTTGGTAAAGCCAAGGCTTCCAGCAAAGTTGGAAGAGTTCAAGAGGATGGGGACTGCTGGCTGACCAGAGAGCTGGACCCGAGCAATCCAAGGCTCCTTGCCCCATCCCTAGTCCTTGAAATGTGCATGCTGCCCACCATAGTGACCCAGCAGGAGCCAGTTCCAAGGACACAGCCTTCAGAGTACGGTGCTGAGGACCTCTGGAGCGAAGATGGTTCTGAACCCGGGTAAGGCCTCTACGGCTTGTTTAAGACTCAGGCGGGTGGGTGCAGATCTACCTGTTTGAGGTTTCCCCAGGCAAGCCTCGTAAATTGGCTCTGGCTTATTCAATTTGGCGTCTACTAACCTGGAGTTCTCGGCCTCTGCCTTCAGTCTCTCCTTGCCCTCCCTGTATGCGGGCCAGTTTCGGATTTCACCCAGCCAGCTCTGAGCTTTTATTTTGAACCAACAAACCTGCATTTGAGCTCAGGTTGTTCTAACTATTGGATCACACCACAAGGGCAGGTGAAGGGTTGGCTCTGTTATTTTATATTGCTTTTGGAAAAAGGAATCTTCTACATATTTTCTATACGAGGTGCCTTTTCTGTTGTAACAAAATTGTCTAAGTATAATGTTGATGAAAACTTGGGCCTGAGAATCAGACTGACTGAGACTCCAATCCCAATTAATCATTTATTATGAGCGTAGGTGGCTACTTAATGTCTCTGGCCTTAATTCTCTCATTTGTAAATTGGGAAAGATAGCCAGCTCCAGGACTGTAAAAATTAGCAGAGGTAATGTATAGGAGGTATCCATTATGGTTTCAGTCATAGGAAGTGCCCAATAAATAAGTGGTGGTAATTGTTACTATTATTTACAGAGCCTCCAGATCAGCTTATTTTTATGGTTTTTCTATGACAGCCATGCCATGTAAACAATTCAAGCTGCCTATCACTTAGTCCATAACATTTTCCCCCAAGAATGGAGTCCCTCATCATCTTTCAATATTCTGTCACAAAGCACATGTTAGGGCACAGGGGCTCAAACGATATTTGTTGAATTAAGTGGTGACAATGGAGTAGGAAGTTATCTTTTGTCCCATAATTGCTGCCCTTGGGAGATGGGCCCCATTAACACTTCCTCATAGCAACCCTGTTACTTGTCATTGGTTTTAACCACCTTTGAGGTCCTCATCTCCTGCAGGGAGTAAGAGATGGGAAGGCCCTTCTTTTCCCCTTTACTGAGTCCCCCGGAGAGCCTCTCCTGGGGACTGCAGCTGGAAGTGTGACATTTAATTAGTGGAGAAAATTAAGTCAGGCCGGAGGCGGCCTGTGCCGGCAAGCGGGTGCGAGGAGGCCCGGCAAGGGGTGCTGGGCTCAGCGGGGCGCTTGGCCCCGGCTCCTCCCAGGTCCCCATCGGGGGCTCGCGCTCCGCAGGTGGGCATTGCGGAAGCGTCAGGTGTGGGAACCACTAGCGAGTCTGCGCGGGCACTCGGTTTCTTCTATCTCACTTGACATTTACTTGAGAAGAAATGATGAGCTCCCGAGGGGCGGGGATCTCTTACAATGAAACCTGGCCTCCGGCCAGTCTCGCGACAGGTGCTTGAGGGTGACACAGGTTGCACGGAGATCCGTGGCCTCTCGCGTCACAGGACGCAGAGTGTGCCGAGTCAGAAAGGAGCTTACAGCACCTCCAGGCCCAGTCCTGCTCTTTACAGATGAGGACACCTGGGTCCAGGGGGCCTGCCAAGGGACTCGGGAGCTGAGCGGGAACCAGGGCGTGGGCCACTGGGCCCCGGGGCAGGGCTCTGGGCTGTGCTGCTTTGCATTCGCGGCCCAGGGGTCCCGGGTGGGTTGCCTGGGGTGCCATGACCCGCTCTGCCCCAGAAGCTGACTGAAACCCCGTGGACTTCCCCTTGTGCATCCTAGAGATGTGTCTTCTGAGTTTATTCCCAAGAACCATCTCTTCCATGTGGGTGCTGTGCTATTGGAATGGAATGGTGCCTCGTCTGCCTCTGGGCCCCTCGCACCGTGAGAAAGGTGGACAATCAGCCACAAGAGCCAAAAGGCACAGGGGGACCAGGAGGAGGGGCTTAGATGGGACAGGAGCTGGAAAGGAAGAGGGCCCAGGGAGGAATCTATTTATTTAGAGTTTATTTATTGATTTTAGAGAGAAGAGTGGGAGGGAGTGAGGGAGGAAAGGTGAGAGAGAGAGAGAAACATGTGTTTGTTGTCCCACTGATGGATTAATTCATTGGTTGCTTCTTGTATGTGCCCTGACTGGAGATCAGACCTACCACCTTGGCGTATCTGGATGATGCTCTAATGGACTGAACTACCCAGCAGGGCGGCCCAGGGAGGAATTTAAAGGAAGCAGTGGGGTGGATCTGGCCTCTATACCTGCTCTGTCTCTTCCTAGCAGTGTGACCTTGAAGAAATTACTTGACTCTAAGCCTAGTCCTTTCCTCTGTAAATTGCAGCGATATGCACACTTCTGGGTTGTGTGAGAGGTAGAGGAGAGAACGCACACAATTGCAAATGAGGTTTCGTATCCTACGCAAGGTTACGTATCTGGACTGCACGAAATCTGAGCGCACCCTACAGGGCTGGGTGTGCAGCGGGTGCCCTGAGGCAGAGCCTCCTCACTCCCTCCATCGTGGAAACGCCTGCAGGGCCCAGAGCTCCTCACAGCAGCTTCTGCCCATCCTGAGGCCCCCTGTTCCAGTCTCCTCCACTCCTGCAGGTTGCGTGATGTAACAACAAGGGTCAAAACAGTTAGTGTTTTGTTGTTCTTAAGAAAGAAAAGGGGGGATATTTATCGTTTCACATAATTTAACATTCCAGTTACCTGCATGGCTAGATCCAGGAGTCCCAAGGACGGCAGCAACTGCAGCCTCTCCACGGCCTAGCTCTGCTCCCCCCCGATGCAGATGAGAGCGAGCATGCAGCACCAACAGCAGTGACAGCGAGATGATGTTTAGTAGTGGACCCTGGACATCTGATTGTTGCCACCTCTTTCTAAGCGACCCTCAGGAGAAATAAAGGGTGATAAATACCTTTCATTGCTTGGGAACAGTAGTGGAAACTACGGGTTGTCTCTCATTTTCCCCTTCTCCTTACATGGTGGTTCAGCTAAAGACTACATTTACATTTTTTTTAAATGTGTTGATTTTAGAAAGAGCAAGGAAGAGACACACACACACACACACACACACACACACACACACATTGATTTGTTGTTCCACCACTAATGCATTCCACTGGTTGCTTCTTGTATGTGCCCCTATTGGGGATCTAAACCAGAACAGTGGGTTATCGGATGATGCTCTAACTGAGCTACCCGGCCAGAGCTAAAGACTCCATTTCTAAGTCTCCCTTCCTGCAAAGTGGGGCCGCACAGGAATCATGCACAGGATCCTGACCAATGGGACATGAACCAGGGAACAGAGCATGGGATGGACATTGCAGAGCAGTCAGAAGCGAGCAGTTCCCAGCAACTGCGGAGCTGCGTCCCAGCCCGAGGCCACCTACCTGGCCATTTGTGTGAGTGAGAAGTAAACTATCCTACTGAACCCAGTTGGTTAGGCCAAACAAAGACAGGCATGAGCGCAAAATACTGCACCTTAGTGGGGGCCCTGCGAGGCCTACATGCGAGCAGGCTGAAGACGCGCCAGGATTTTCCAGGCAACCGCTGTGCCGGCCTCACTCAGAACTGCTCGGAGCTGGTTCAGGTGGCTGTGGCTGATGAAGCCCGTGGTGGGCAGTTCTCCGAAGTGGGGAGAGGCTGCACGAAGGAGCAAGAGCTGCCTGGCACGCACTTGGTCAGCCGCTTTTCATTTTCATTTCCGGGAAGCCTTTTAAAAATCTATTTTATTATAAAAATATTCAAACATTACAAAGCTGGAAATAATATCCATCCATCCTGAGTCAGCAATGATCAACAGGCCGTATTTGCTGCATCTCCCTTCCACCCTCCTTTCCTTCTCCATCCTTTCTCTCCGCTTTCCTCTCATGTTTGTCCGTTGGCTGTAGTGTTTTAAAGCAAGTCTCTGTCCGTATGTCATTGGGCCCCTGAGCACTCTGTACATATTTCTTAAAATTGAGCATATTTTCTTACAGAACAATAATACGATTATCACACCAAGTCAAATTAGGAATAACTCAGTAATATTATTTAATGCTCAGAAATGTGTATTACTTTGTCTTGTTGTGACAGATAACTTTTACCTTTGTTCCTATGGTACTTTAAGGCCGCAGTCATGTAATTTCCTTTTGTAATATACCCCCTTGT